GGTTAAACTTAATCAGATGTGCTAAGTTCATTTTGTGTGTTTAAGTTGTTGACATTGGTAAGTATAGACTTTTTGATAAAGTTGTGTGTTTAAAATTCAAAAAAAAAAAATCTGCTTTAGTTCTGTATGAGTTTATGTATGTTGAATTTACGTGTCTTTAATTTGAGGCATGTCGTTTGTGGTTTTTTGTAATCTCTATTAACTATGGGCTTATTTAAAGGCTCACGGAAATTACTCGCTCCATTCCTTTTTGACGGTCACTTTTTAAGAAAATTCTTGTTTATATTTATCTGTCATTATAAAATTTGAAGATAAAAATAATTACTATTTTCTTCATTCTACCCTTGTCTTTACTAACTTCAGAATTCCAAAGGCAGCATTAATTACTAAAATAAAAGGTTAAGTTAGAAGGAATTAATTCTGATCAATACTTTCTCATTATAACGCTGAGGAAAAGGCTGAATATAATGCATAGGATTCTTTTGATAAACAAACATAACGCTAACCTTTTTCTTTAGAACACTGATCTCCTGCTCAAATACTTCGACCTGAAACATATAGAATTAGTTTCTATCTGTTCTAAATATTGCAAGCTGCGTTTTACCCATACCATGGAATCGAAGAACAGATAGAAAGAACAAACGCATCATAACAGTTTACTATCGCTAAATAGTACAGAAACAAATGAAAAAAAGAAGAGGCAACGTTATAGTGAACAGCAAACAGTATCAATAAACTCTAATCTTTATAACATAGTGAATAACATTGCATATCATCTCTCCAAAAAATGCTTTTTTGAATCAAACCCATATGAAGCTCGGAAAAGCATGAAGCCTCAGGCAAGCCACTTACAATTCTTAGTTGTCTAGCTAGCATATGTTTAGGTTAAATTTCATTCTTGAATTGACGAAAAATTGGGGGAAAAAAACTAAATTTTAAATTGGCTAGAGTAGTCAAACCAAAGCGTGTCATCTGTATAATCTTACAAGTAATAGTTAGCAGGAATATTGTATCCAATGAAGAGGCTAGTTGGGAATGGAATATTAACAAGGGAGCCATTCTTATTTGAATCCCTATAGACTGAGTTGACAATGGGCAAGCAACGCCAACCTCCATTGTCAAGTCCATATTCTTTCTCATTTTCCTCACCTAGTGAAAGAAGTACCACAGGATCAACAGTTCTTCAGCCTGAAGATCCTCTAGTGAAATACCGCTAAAAAATTCAAATGTTTACTAAAAGCAAATTTATGCATTTTGTAGTTTTTCTGTGTATGTTTCAAACGCCAACACCCAACTTCTTTAGAAGCAATAGAAAAATTTGAGTGGCAAAGTGCTACGACGGAGGAGATTCAAGCATCCATAAAACTCAACATGCGTGGGAGTCAGATGTTCATGAAGGCCAAAATGTTATAAGGTCCCGAGGGGTAGAGCTGTTAGAGCCCAACACATTTAAACCCTTTTAAATTGATGACCAGCAGGCTTAACAATTAGGTCCCAAAATGAGTAAATGGGCTAAACGTTGGGCCCATTTGGGTCAAATAATTAAAAGGCCATCCCTTAAATATATGTTTTTAAATTATTCAACTACTAGAGACCAAGAGAGCTTCAGTCCTTCCATCCTCACACCAACTGCCTTCTGATCTCATTGTCAAGCTTCAACTCTTCAATCTTCCTTCAACTCTCAAAGTCTCACTTAGCTTGGTTGTTCTATGCGGGGTAAATTGTTTGTGGTTTTATCCTTCCCCATTCCTCTGCTGACAATGCAGTGTCCTTGACTTCTTTCTCCTAGGTACTCCTTCCTTCCTCTTGTGCTCTACTCTACTCTACTCCTCTTGTTCTTTCATTTAACATGACTAATGTTTTGTTAACATAGAGAAGTTATTATGAACTGGATCAGAGCATGTTTGAATCAATTATTTGTGCTTAATGTTAATTTTGTTTGTTCAAACACGCATGTATTTGTTTAGTTGCTGCTTGGCCAATATTAATTATGAATTAGGAGGATTATGGTTTTCCCTGACAAAGGGAATCTTGATTATGAATATAGATTGGGAAAGTGGGATTAGATGTGTTCTAATTTGCCATTAGGATAAACATAAAACTAATGGACCCCATAAAATCATTAAAGAGTAACTTTGGATTTTATTGCCTCTGGAGTAATTATGCCGGGAATGGCATGTTTAAAACATTAAGAGAGGAGTATATGTGAATCAAGAGACATTAATAGCCACTAAAACTTCATATTAACTAAAAGGGATTACCATTATAGGGTATGTGGTTTTGGAACAAGAACATTACCATTATGGCTTATATATTTTTTATTTGAAAATGTTAAAAAAATAGCTTTTTGGCCCGGCCCTTACTAGTGGAAGCATTTAAGAGTATAAAGCTCGATTTGTTTTCAAGGGATACTAACAACAAGGTATGAATTTTGAGGAGACTTCTCCAACTGCTCAATTTGAAATTGTGAGAGTTGTTTCATTTTTGGTTTCTTAGTTGCAGTTACCTGTTATTAATTTGATTCAAATTCTGCTTTTTAAATGATGAGTTAGAAGACGAGGTTAATGTGACATCCTATAATTTAAAAGGAACTCACATGAAAATTTGTAGGGACCAACTTGTAAAGAAATATATAGTTTTGAGGTTTTATCCTAATTATGTATAGTGAAGGAGAAGTTGTGGCAGAAATATATAACTTCAAAACTATGGTACAAAACAGTCCCCTCAACATTAGAATGTATAATAAGGGAAAGTAAGAGATTTACAAGAGATTAAACCATATCTTTCTACAAAAGATGTATTTTGATATATTTACCCCTTCATAAAAAAATATTTTAAAATATTAATCCTTTTACTAAGATGTTAGGTAGGAAAAAAGACATGAAACTAGACAATTTTTTGTGTAGGCTTATAAGATTATTGATATAATCTTCATTTGGAACACTTGTTATTGTAAAACACATAGTAAGGAAATCTCTTATGAGTACAAGCCCAAAGGAAAGCTCAATCCCAAAAAACTAGTATATTAGAAGAAAGAGCTCATTAAACTTGTAAACCACGCTACACTTGCAAGACTCCCCAGTATGGGAATCACAACAAAATCCTTGATATTGTCAATTCTGCACAAGATAGCAATCCTACCCTTCTTATATGTCTGTCTTGTTTGCGTGCCTAGTTTATTTTATGTAATTTTATGTGATAAGTGTATCTGTACTCAAAGTTAGAGCCTTGAATAGTTAAATATTGCCTCTTTGGCAAAGAATTATACCCTTGTGGTAAAGAAACTTGAAGGCAGAGTCTGTATAGTAAGAAAGCCTTGTGGCTAAGAGATGTCTTTATGGCATAAAAAGCAGGATAGGTAAGGGGGAGAGTGCAGTGGTTCTCTAATAATGAATTCTAGGTGTTTGTGATATCATCTAATTAATATGTATGTCATCTTTTATATAGTGATTCATTTTATGTTATTATATATGTGTATTCCCTTCCTATTGGGATTTTCCCCAAAATATCATCCCATCTTGTCAACCCATACTTGGCGAAGTTAGTGGAACATACAATGACAGGCAAGTTGTCAATGAGTTTTGAGAAGAATAAAGAGGATCTAATTCAATTATGATTCAGTTACGTTTGGAATAATTAAGGGATGAAAAGCATCCCGTAATTGGGTGAGATTTATCAGGTTTCTCTTATTGGAGTTATAATGGTCAACCTAAGTCATATTTGGCATATTCGGTAAATTATAGTTATAAATATATAAAATGATTTATGAACAGAGATTTGAGAGGACTATGAATGATTTTCCTATATCTGTACCATTTGGATATATAGGATATGAGGATTATGAGACTGCTCATTATCAATTATAAAAGGAATGCGGATAAGGTTAGTTAGTGTCTTAAATCGGTCATTGCGAGCATTCTTTAATTTGTATCTTACACAGGTGAAGGGTCAAATGAGCATCAAACAGGAAAAATCATTTCCTATAACTAAAGGACATGTAGAGCATTAAAACTAGAATTTATTTAGGTTACGTCGATCCCTGTAGCATGAGGCAAAGTTGAAACACAATACAAGAGAAAATGTTTAAATTATGCATTTTATTATGAGGATATAGTTGCTTTTTGATCCGCGATTTAAAATTATGTTCACAAAAGGGGGAAAGAATTATAGATCATTACTAACATTCTTTGGTGGAACCATGGATTAAGGTAGCCTTATGATAGCCCCCAAAAAAAAAAAAGGTAGCCTCATGGTAGCCAAAAAACAAAGAACAAAAAGGTGGCAGTATAAAGAGACTTTAATTGACCTTTCTAATGATAAAAGAATAGGGAGATCTTGACCTTATCTAATTTTTATTTCATTCACTTCCTATTTTTTATGCCGCAATGAATATTTGAAATATAATATATAGTTTTGTCATTATAAAAGGGACAAATCGAATATTATGAGCTAAACAAGATGAATAACTGTCAAATTAGCCTCTGCATATGAGACAGTTATTTCAAAGGGAAAACAACAAGGACAAAAAAACATGTTGAATTTCAAAAAGATAAATAGGCCATGGTTACTATTCTTGTAGTGGTTTGGACTACTCTTGTAATGACTTTAGCAAGTCAAAATCAATCAAAATCACTTAGCTGTCATTTTGAAATTCAACAGGTATTTTTTTTTTGTTACTTTTCCTCTTTCTCAAATAAGCCATTGTTTAATTGACAGTTGATAACTGTAATTTACGGAATAAAAAAATCATAAAATATTTCAATTTTTGTATTACTGTCATAAAAGGAAAAGACAAACCTTTGCTTTTGAAACGCGATGCAAGCTTGTGCTAAGTAAATCTTCTAGCTTCCTCAGATCTTTTACAGACAGCCCTTGTAGATCTTCCCCATTGAGCTGTCTATTATTAGATGTGGAGCAACATATTTGAATCTATAATAAACACATTGTACATCCCCCATAATAAAATCTTTAACACCATTTAATAATGGTAATAGTAATACCTTATTTCAAGAGTCTTCTCTTCTATTTCCTTGTTTAGCATAAAATATTCACCTTCAACCTGTCCAATTACCATATGCTTTCCACATTCAATGACAAAAGTTTTGGTATACTCCAAGCATTTTCATATTAGGTATGTATATGGCGCATCATACCCTTGAATAAAAAAAGAAGTAACTGTTGAATAATTATTGCAGTAATATAATATACTTCCTAAATATTAGTTAAGAGGTTTCTTTTGGTTCTAATTGAAGTAGACCTCATTTTTTATTCCAAATTTATAATTTTTCACGAAATTATCTCTATTTTTATAGACATTAATATCCTTCTAGTAGAGGCAATCCTAATTACACAAATAAAAGGAGTTTTCATCAATGAGTGTAGTTTCCAATGCCAGTGACTAGAGGGGATATTTCAGGATAACCAACACACATTTTTTAACAAATAACTAATTTAATTTTCTTAATATATGTAAATTACTTATCTAACTCGAATATTTAGGGTGAGGGAAGTATATTGTACTCCCCCTGATCCATATTATAAGACGTTTCTAACTAATTTCCAAGTCCTAATAAAAATAGTTAAAAGCATTAAATTTGTCATAAAATTTAAGAGATTTCTAATATTATCCTTATTAATCACACTAAATTCCAATATCATACTAATTTTTATTCTCTCTCACTATCCTTATAAAATATGGGCATATATGGGAAGAAATATTTAATGCTCATTGAAACTATCAAAATGTCTTATAACCAAAAATATTTTTGTAAGATTTTTTTATATACAGACACACAGACAGAGATGGGAAAAAGAAAGATGAATCAAAACAGCAATAGATGAAGGGGTAGAGAGCAGAAGAAAAATTATACCTGTAGCTCTTGAGGTGGCTGGTATGACTTCACAAGGTTCACATCTGAGTATAGGTTTCTCCTTTCAATTACTTGCCTCGTGCTTAAAACAACAAAAATATTGAAAATTAAAATGGAAGTCATACTTTAAAACTATTTCTAGCGAATTATATAGCATAAATTATCATTTGATGAATTAAAATTATTTATGGAATTTAAATTTTAATGGAAGTCATACTTTTGCTGTGGGGAGGGGCACAATGGAAGTCATAGTTAAAATAAGTGAATTTAAATACAGCATTAAATTTGCTTATGTATCCAATCAGTCATGTATATATATACCAATGAATTTATTCTTAGTGGCTTCCATGGCCAAACATTACAGATGGGTTTTTTATTTAGAGATATATATGTGACAATAATGTGTAATATAATAGCATTTTTTTAATTAACCGAATCTTAACTCAAGATAGACTCATTCAAAATTATAACATTTAAATATTGCCATTAATAGATATCAAAATATGAAGACAATAAGGAAAACGTCAAGAGCAATCTGTGATAAGCTGATAGCCTTACAAAACTTTTAGTATCTTCAAAGCAAAAGTGACCCGACTGTTCTAGTAGCATGTTCTCATAATCCTCTTTAAACTGTTTTAATCCACCTAATTAATCAATAAAAAATACAAAGAAAAAACAATTATGAACTAAAAGTTAATTTGGGATGTTCTCTATTGCCCAAAAAAAGAAAACATCCCTGCCTCTTAAAAGTATGCCGTATTTGTACTTCTCTAGACCATTTAAATTAAACTAGAAGATTTAAATCTTCTTTTGATATTTTTTATTTTGAAAGCAACATAGTAAAAAAAATACATACAATTTTCCAACACCATTGAAAGTGATTTTGAATAAAAATAGAATTAAAATAATAAGATAAAAACCATCTCATATACAGCCTATATAGGACATGCAGTACCGCTTGAACAGCGTATTGTGGGCCTTTTTTTTTTTTTCCCTGTTTCCAAAAGAAATCAAAGACGAATACATTATTCTTGACTTGTGAATAGCGTAGTTTCTTGTAGATTTTAAATAATTGATATAACTATATTGATCGTTATGGAAAGGATCATATTTTTTTTCCAGAGGAAAAATAGCATCTTGACATTAACAAAAGCCTCTGGAACTGAAGCAGCTTCATGGAATCTAATATTCCTCCATATATGTGTCGTTTTCGTTATTTTCAAACCACTATTTTGTACTGTTTTAAGTTTTAAACGTTGATTATTGTACATATTATTCACATCAACGTTGAACAAATTCCATAGTCTCTTCCAAGACTATCAAGATTTCAGTGTTCAAACTATTTTAGCAGCAACCTCAAGACATTGTGTAAAAAGTTAAAGGTATAAGCAAAACACAGTTATGATGAGATTACTCATTATTTTCAATTATACCCACATGATTAATTCTCAGATACACACATATATAAAAGCACACAAAAGGACTATATCACAACTTTTTGGTCAGCACGTCTAGTTCAAGTTTTCTTCTTACAGGAAGAGAAGTACTGTGTGGAAGCAACTTGAACCTAAATCATTTCAATTAGAGAGAGAGAGAGAGAGAAGATACCTTGTACTGGCACAACAGAAGGTAATTTTCGCCGAAACATGAACATGGTAATTGATGATCAAACAGATGAGATACATAAATGCTGACACTTAAAAAAGAATAGACAAATGAATCATGGGTCAAACTTGGTATGCTAATAATCTGGATTCTAGGTTGAGTGATTGTGCTTTTTAGAGCCATTTCATGTTAAATCTCACTCTATCAAAACTGAAGGAGATTATATAGACAAATTTAGAAGAGAGCACAAATGAGACGAATAAAAGCATACGCTATCACAGCTTCTTTATCAACAAATAAAGATCAGGATTTATTTTCCTCTAAACAAAAACGAAAATCCCAGACGTGATTAAAATTCAGATTATTCTGATTCCTAGTGATAGTACACACATATACATTATATAGAGAGAGAAAAGATACCTTGTACTAGCATAATCAAAGAGTTTGCCCGAAGCTGAAAATACTAAGAGAGCAATCTCAGCATCACAGAGAGTTGACAGCTCCATAGCCTTCTTGAATAGACCTTTCCTTCTCTTTGAGAAAGCCACCTGCCTCGCAGCTACGTTCTCGATCTTCTTTATTGCTATCTTCCTTCTCGTCATTTCAACCAATCTCTCCTTCAAACTAAAACCAAGTTAAATCAAAGAGAAAGAATTAGGGAAATCTAAAGATTTAATCCAGTGTCAGACAAAAATTAATTACGCAGAAGAATATTATCTGCGTGTTAAACGAAAAAGACAAGCATAAAATGAAGAGAACTTGGATTGGGCGTAGGTGGAACAACAAGATAAAAAGAGTTTGAGGCTTGGATAGGATAGATTAGGAAGGATAAGTGCAGATCTAAGTAAGAAATACAGAGAGAAGGGGAGGTTTCTTCTTGAGAAGGAGAGCGAAGTGTTGTTACCTGCAAGAATATTCTGAAATGTGATGACTGAAGAAAGGATGAAAGATAGAGTCTTGGTGAGCAGGAAATTATTAAGGAGGAGACAGGCTTCCCTAAATTTAAAAAAAAAAAAAGGAAAAAAGAAGAAACTCTTGCGGTGGGTAAATTGATTGCATTAATTGCAGCTTTATACATGGGCACACGCACACGCATTCGCCATTTAGTGCCACGAGTTTGGGATCACTAATTCACTAAAAAAAAAAAAAAACCATGTAAGAATGATTTCTAGATAAAGAGAAATAGAAAATTTTAATGAGGGTGTGTTTGAAAAATTTTATCCATAAATGCAGTTTTTGGTATGTGAGAATAACTTATAAGTAACTTATAATAAAAACTCGAGTAGTATTATATTTTGAGACAAAATTCTCTTTACATATTTATTTTATATAATATAAAATTACTAAAAATAAATTGTGTTAAATTATATTTAGTATTCTAAAGTATTTTTTATGGTATGTAGTATCAAAAACTAATTTTTTTTATATTCATTTAGCATGTTAAAGTATTTTTTTAGTAGCTCCTAATGTTCTAAAATAAATTTTAGTACAATTTTGTCCCTAAAGCATTTTTCTAATAGCAATATACTCTCTACACTTATTACTGATATTACTAAAAATATATGTAAGAAATTGATTATTTATTAAGTATGATTGGTTATTTATAATAAATAATTTTCATTCCTAAAATATTTGCTAATTAAGTATTGGCTAAAACTATCATTATTAGGATTATCTTAAAAAATACATAAATATAAGAAACAAAATGATTGTCTTATAATTAGGACCAAATAAAAGTCAAAATAATATATTAATTATGGTGATAGATACACCAAAAATTATTTTAAGATACTATATGTTATTGAAAAATTGTTTTAGAGTGTTGGAGGAGGGAGTGAGGGAGGAGGTATTTTGTTATTCTTTGAGCACATTGTTCATCCCTCCTGTGCCATAGGATGCATTTTGAAAAATAAAAGTTTAAATTATAAGCTGCCTAGTAAGTGTAACGGGTCATTAGGACAGATAAACAATACACCCCTTAGAAACATATAAGAAGTTTTCTCCTTGTACAGTTAGAAAAATTCAAAATTCTGTCCATGTATAGAATTACGATGTCAAATAGATTCATAAAATCATCAAATCCATTAGACTATGATTTAAATTAAATACTTTTTTCTTATTCTTTCCCCAAAAAAGAAAATCACTCGTATTTGCAACCTCACGACTCAAGCTGGATAACTCTCAAATAACTCAAAGGAAAACAAAACCTTTAATTAGGCATTTTATTTCATTTATTGAGGGGTCTCTTCCCCTTTTCTTGTCTGTCTATTAAATTATAAGCTGCCTGGTAATTGTTGGAATATTTTTAAAATGAAGAGATGTGTTTTTGAAAAGTCATGTTCTTATGTAAATTTATTAAATTAATAAATTTATATGAGGGGTTATGTCTTCATATAAATTAATAAATTTATTTGAAGAGTTGTATTCTCACATAAATTAATATATTTATATGAAAAATTGTGTCTTCATATAAATTAATATATTTATATGAAAGGCTATGTAGGTAGTTACAATAATAAAAGACCCTACATATTAAATACATTTTATTTATTTAAATTATGTTAGTTCATGAACCAACATATGGGACTTGTATTTAATAAAGTATTATTTCAAAAGGCATCTCTTCAAGACATCATTCCATGGTCTCTATAAAACCGTCACCATCACTTCATTTGGATACAACACAATTCAAACACAAAGATCAAACTTACTGCCTTTGTCTTTGAGTGAACGTAGAGATAGAGTCAAATTATCACCTTGTAAAGGCCATTGTTTTATTCGATTGAATCTTGGAAGTGCAATCCATATTCAAGAGTTTTCATTGTATCCTGAAAGAAATTTGCCAATCAACCCGACTTGCATCCTATAAGATAAGAATATGTAGAGACACATTAAGTCTGAAGGAAAGTGCTGCCCATACCTTGAAGACATCGTACACCACTTTCTTTTTCCTCTCTTCTTCTTGTACTCTTCACAAAACCATCCCTACCAGCAGTAATAATATTAGATATATTTTATTTTATTTTTATAATTTTAATAGCCACTTCATTTCTCTTTAATTTAATTGAAATGTTACAATATTTTCAAATCAATTAAAAATTTAACAACTTTTTTAATTTTTGATAAGAAAGTGGATAAATGACGAGATGGGAACACTTCGTCATTTGAGGGGGAAAAACTAATTATAATTCTTTCTAATTGATAATTATGTCAGATCATATTAACAATTAATATTAAATAAAGTGAGTGTTAAAGTATGTATAAAACTATTAAAGTTATTAACAATTTTTAGATAAGATATCGAAATATTATTTTCTAAAAATTCCTCTGACAATGCATATATTTTTGTCCAATGTTGATGACTGAATATATTAAATTTTATTATGTTTGATGTACCAATATTTTCTAATTGGAAGCAATTCTACTTGAGGTATTGGCAGACACTAAACGTTAGAAGACAGTGCTTTGAATATGATTATTTTTAATAGGAGAATACTGATGCCGAGAGGAAAAAAAATACCTTGATTTAAAAAGAAAATAACTTTAAAAAAAATATCTAATATCTAGTTTTGAATGAATTCAATAATGTGTTTTAGTTTTAAGAGATAGGATGAACGAAAAAATTTACCTATTATACTATCAAAAAGAAACACCAGGCACTGTAATAAAATGTTAGGGGTAAAAATACTCATTAATTTTTCAAAACGGGGCAAAAATGCTATTTTTGTTGACTACCCTTAACATCCATCACTTTTTCTTTTGTGAATCCCACTAAGCATACACGTGTTTCTTTCTCACTACTCACTTTGTCGTCTACTCACACATTATTAAGAATATAATGATTTAAATATATTTTTAATTGTAAAATAAATTAATATATTTGTAGAGTTGGTGTTAATGAAGGTATCATCATCATTCATGTCATCATTAGGTACATATTGAGAATAGGAAGACAATTTCTTAGAAAACTTGTTTATATTTCATTAAAATCAATTCCTCTTGATTATTAACAATAATTAAAAATAATAAGAATATTAATAATTTTCTTATACAAACTGATACAAGAAAGAAATAATTTTATCATATGTACAATATATTGAAAGATATAATATATAATAGAAATTCAAAACCAAAAAATGAGTTTATATGAACACAAACTAATATTGAAGTGAATTTTGAATTTCAATCATTAAACAATAAAATTTAATTGTGATATAATTAATACGAATAATATAGATTGGTTTTGGTCTTCTATGCAAAAACAAATGATATAAATAAAGAATTTTAAGAAAACAAATTACATAGGATATATACATATACAAGGAGGAGAATATTGTTTATTATAATCTATTCAAATCATTTAATTTTTTAATATAATAATTTATTAGATTTTATTATAGTAGTTATTTTTTGAATAACTAGATTTTTTTGCTAACTATAAATGGTTTTCATCAAATATATAAAACATATATAGATAATATAATATAATGTAATATAATATATATATATATATAATTAAATTGGATATCTTATCAATGTTAATTAAAAAATAAATTTTAAGAAAAAATTATTTATGATTTAAAATTCAAAATTAGTTTCATTGGAAATTAAAATTATATTAAAAATATTATTTAAAATAAAACATTATAATATAAATAGTAAAAAATATTTAAAAAATATTTTTTCATTAAAATAGCTATGATAAAAATTATCATATAGTTTATTTTTAGTTTTTAATAATATATATGTATATAATATTGTTTGTGTAAAAGAATATTATATATATATTTAATTTTGCATAGTAAGTTAATAGGTTCGTTGCAACTCAACTGGTAAAGCCGTATGCGCCCACAGATGAGGTCTCGGGTTCAAGCCATGGATAAGTCACTTTGAGGAGGAATTATGTGGTGGTGACATGTGGTAGGCAGAGATGAGGTGACAGTGACACATGGCGATCATCGCTGAGGTGGTAAGGACACATGTTTAGAGGAGTTCTTTGCTAGGATTAAGAGGTTTTAAAGCTTAGGAGCTTTGAGTTTAAAGTTTGAAGGAGATTTGGAGCTTCATTTCTCATTTTCCTTGGTTTTCTTCTTCTCTTCTTATTTGTCCTTGTATGGATTAAAACTTATTTTAACTCTTTCTTTGGTATTAATGAAATGTTATTTTGTTTTTACCTTGAGTTTAGTGCTTTCTTGTAATTGGCCACCACTTGAAGTGATTTGTTTAATTGGTTGAAATTTGAGAAAGTTAAATTGATCTTTGATCTTGGGTAAAAACCTACTATATTGAAAGTTTATTCTATTAAATGGATGGTTTGTTGATAGAATAGAGATATATCTATTAACCTAGCATTGGTCAAAAAAAGATTTTGATTTTCAAAGTGTAATGTTGTCAACAAAAGCAAGAGATTGTGAAGGTTTATTAAGATTACAAAATTTGGTTTTGACTTGAGAAAGCTTAATTAACATTTGTGAACCTTAGACTGACTTAACTTATCATTAAAACACTAAATGAGAAGTTTTTAATCAAGTTTTATGAAATACAATAGTGAGAAATAATCCTAGATTCTTATTTGTCTCAAAGTTAAGTTTTTAGCTTCGATTTTAAGCTTTATTTTCAAAGTACCTTTATGAGACAACTTCATTTACACATTAATTTCACTTAACCTAATCATAAACACAATTGTGATTTTTAACTTGTCTGGCCTTAACCTCTAAGGGAACGATATTTTTTATACTACTAGCGACTCGTGCACTTAGAGTTAAACTAAATGGCAAACAGCAGTGATGATGATATACTGTTGCTTTGATGGTGGGGAGACGACAATCATGGAGATACTTGCTATTTTTTTGTCTAACTTAAATATTATTTTGCCACATCTACCTCCACGTCACTATTTTGAGTCAAAGTATTCTTTCTAAATAGTCAACAATCATAGTAATGACATTTTAGGCCCCTTTTCGAATCATCATGGGTATTTTTGGCCCTGACATTCTATTATGGTACTTGGTGCTCTTCTTCAATATTATAATAAGTAAATTTATCCCTTTACCTGATGACATAATATATACGAAGCAAATTAGGAAGGGAAAATTACACACACGTCCTAAGGAGTAGAATTTATTCACCAAGGTCACAAAAAATGTTAAGATTAATAGTAGGTCTTAAGAGACCTTAGAGTACTATATTGTCATTTTAACATGCCATCCCTATTCCTCCTAATCTAAGGGTCCCAATTCAAAGTTCAAACACTCTCTCCCTCTCACCTCAGCGTTTGAACAGCTTCCTGCCTCTGGCGTTGGCATCTAAAGTGAAGGAATCAGCCACCAGTAATATACAACTCTCTGATGAATAAACATTTATATGTTTCTATTTGAATAAAGACAACCTGCAATACACGGAAGGCCAAACTCATATTAGTGATATGAAGAATGAACTAATGGCCACATAAAAATCAGTCCCAACCAAGGTAGAAAACATAATGTTGTATCCTTTTTCCCCCCTAATTTCACAGAATTAATGGATTGTATGCTTGTTAGGAAGTATCCCACTCGAAAATCGATCGGAATTATTTTAAAGAATTGAAATCTTCCTGCAAATGCTAAAAGACAGCAGAGTCCATATTCAATCCAAACCACCAAACATCAAATGCATATAGTTCAAATTACATTAAACAAAAGCTATCTAATATATAAACATGTATCAGTAGCTAGATAATCTAGTTAATTATCCCAGCCTGAGAGATGCATCAGAACTATCAGTGCCTTGAGGAGGATTGTCAGATGAACTGCAAATGACGATGGAGTCAGAAGACTGGCCTTGTTCGCGTGCAAGTCTCTGTAAGTGTGTGTTTGTGTTATGAGATTTTCAATTCTCAACATTTGAGAAGAAAGGCAATATTTTATAATAAGAAAAGAATATAAATCTTTGATCACCTGCTTCAATTTTCGATTTTCTTCCATGAGTTGGATTCCCTATGCATGAAAGCCAAACAATGTAGCAAAGGTGACCGAGAGCGTAGAACATCGTTAGTGTCATAAAATATGTAGCAAAATGTAGCTTGGATATTTTCTTGAAATCCATCATACTATTTCAAGCCTTTAATATAAGACCCAGTTGACTAATTTAGAGAAATTAAGAAAGTTACTAAATTATATAATTATAGTATATGTTATATGATCTCTCTAAAATACTTAAGGGTATCATTAGATTATATAACAACTTATAAGTGAGGGAAATTAGTTGGGAGAAAAACAATAAATATAAATAGTTTAAAATAATTTAGTAATTTTCTTAATCTCTTCAAATTAGTCAATTGAGTCTTATATTAAGAACCAAATGTAGTATCTATGATAGTGAAATCACATACACAAGTTTGTTAGAATGTGGATATGAATCTTCTCATGGGCTAGTTTCAAATTGAAGTGTCATGTGAAGAAAAGAACGAGCATCAAATCTCTTGGAATATATGTATTCAGAAAGGGATTCACATAGAACTGATCATTCAAGTGAAAACTCAAGTGACGCTTTGTATTATATTATTTTTAAGACATGAAACTTCTCTCATTTCTCTATAAGTAAAACCGTTCAGTCAATTGAGAGAGTTAGTCCTCCTGGGCCATCTTCTTTTTATCCCTTTAACATACATTAACTGTCAAGTGTGAGCCCCTCACATTTGGAAGATTCAGATCTTGTCTTGTGTCAGAAGATAGAGACTACTATTTTTTTTTTTTAAAAAAAGAATGATCTTCTCGTCTCTTTATTATGTCGTCACACCTGTGGTTTTTCTTTATGGGGCTAATCACTAAATGGGAAAAAGTGAGGAATGAATTGAACCTAATTGCCATTACAGGGATAGAATAAAGATGTAAAGTCGAGTAGTTTCTAATCGATCGCTCTTCAATCATTTTGTTTTCTCCAATTATACCTGCTCTGAAAGACTCATTTTTATGTTTGGAACTACGTTTTAAGTGATTTTATGTATTGACTAAACTTTTGTGCGATTGACATAAAAGTTTTCCCTGCTTCTGGACGTATAGATTATATACAATGAGATTTCCACACACCAATATTAATTGCTTGTATACGAGGAATTAAGTGAACATGACCAGTTGATGAAAGGGCAAATCTGCAGATGAATAATATCTTGCATATGCATAAATAGCATATCCTAACATTCTAAGTTTGGTTTTGTATCTACCTTTCTCTTTAGTGCGTTGATGGATTTCATGAATCTTTCATCCTGAAACAATAATCATAGTAAACATGTCAAACTCAAAATCTTGAACGCAATAACTACACAAAATCACAACTCATAGCTAATCAGACAAGGAAGAAAACAAGCCAATTTGTTGTCAGGATGAAAATTAACTAACAGTTTTAATCACTAATTAAATTAGATTTTTTCTATGCACGGTAAAGGCATATCACTTTAAAAATGTAAAAATAAAGAAGTTTGATAAGTACCAAAACAGTGTCTTATAGCTGAAAATGCACACATCAGGTAGATTCCACACCGGCAATGTAGAAGGTTTAAAGGAATATACTGAATCTTGTCATAGAGCATTAAATGATAGTAAAGAAAAGAAAAGATACAATAGATAAAGAAGTTGCTGGTCTCCGACAAATTTATAAGATAAAGAAATATGTGCTTTTTGGGCTGTTTTCTTATTTTGGACTAAACCTCAGGGCCCGTTTGATCCATGGAAAGCACGAAAATGGAATCGAATGTTAATAACCATAAATTCAGCAGGTATGATACTGAAAATGATGGAAGAATTTTATGTTTTATATTTGATTAAATAAAAATAAATTAAAATCAATGAACCAAAATCCCCCCCATTGTGGTTTCTCGGGTGAAGGGTATTAAAAATAGTGTGATTCTAGCATTTGGGAATCAGGATTGGTCACATTTTTATGGAGAATCATCCTCCCAGCAGTGTGATAATTAGACTACCCATAGAATCAAGATTCATACAACAAAAACCAAACCAAACACATTAACAATGCAATTGAGATTATTAGGAATTGGGGTTCTAAGAATCCAATCAAAGAAGCCCTCACAGTTCAAAAAATTCTATGCAAAATACTAGAATAATACATTTTAATTTCTTTGCATGTAAAATACAAAATCTATAAAACAAAATCTTACTCTTTCTGTCCCAAAATGCAAGTCACTTTGAACTACTTTACGCAAACCAGTAAAGTTGGTTAAAGTTAATTAGACATCTTGTACCTTTCAAAAATTACTTGAACATTCCAAAATAACCCTTATTAAACTGTACTCTCATATCAATCATATCTCTCTTAGTGTCTCTCGTAAATAGGGGGCAAATTTGGAAGGAAAATATTTAATGCTCACTACATTCTATGAAATATGACTTACATTTTGAGTATCCCAAATCTTCCAAAACGTGATTTACATTATGAGACGGACAAGGGTAGTATTTTGCATAGAACTTCACAAATTTTAGAAAGCCCAAACTTCAGAGGATCAAGGGTCAAGCATAAAAAGGATCAAATAAAAACCTTTGTTTTTGAAACGCGGGACAAGTCTCTTTGAAGTCTTTCCTCTAGTTTCTGCAATTCTTCAAGTGTGCATTCTTGAAGTTCTTCCCCATTCAATTGCCTTTAGAATTTAGTGCAAGTCATGTGTCTCATTAACATAATCTTCTCAACATTTATTCATGGTAGGTATGAATTAAAGTTGCGTGCCTCAATCCACGAGTCCTTTCTGCTACTACCTTGTGCAGCTTATTCTCATCACCTCCAAGCTTGTACATATTTCAAAAAAAAAAAAGGATTAACCTTCCATGATTTTCCATTCCTTCATATGTTATCATAAATTGATTTCAATATTATGTCATCCCTCGAAGTAATTCTCCCATCTTTTCAGTTCTCCTGTGGAGTTAATTCAAGACCTAGGGTTTTCTGCAGGGCAATGCAGCCTGATCACTTACTGTTAATGCATATTATGGAGTATGCATAAGATTGGCCCCTATTCAAAGGAATCTATGAAGTATGAACAAGACAGAGTCAAACGGGATAGCTCAATTTCTTCAATGAGTTAAAATCTTCCCAAGAAGCGGATCCCTTTTCCCATCTGATTCATTTGGTAAGTACTTCCTTAGATATTCAGTTGTCGAATTCCATAATGAATTAAACAAGAAACCATTTGTGCGCCCACGCGTGTGTGAGTCACAATTTGAGAGTAACTAACCAGAAAAGAAGTCAAGTATGTTAACCAAAAAAGAAAAGAAAAGGAATCAAGTTAATTAAAAGGAGCTATGTGCATTGACACAAAACTTGAGATAAGTCATGCTGTGTGATTGATATTAATATATTGATTACCTGTAGATCAGCAGATGATTGGCCTAGTCTTTGAACGGCAGAATGTTGATCGTACCTTTCAATTACCCGCTGCATACTGAAACAACAGAAATAGTAACTCTTTTGAGTGACTTTCTATTTCCCTTCAAGATCAATCAGTGGAAAAGATCTGATCAGATCAATCAAGCACAGTTTTATGTCAAATTGTATGGAGTAACGAAATTCTTTCAGAATCCCAATGGGAAAACTCAGAACCTTCAACTGTGGATATCAATCATGATTCCGTTACTTCAAGTCTATGAAGTTACTTTCTCATTGGTTGACCTTTTAAGTTATTAATTACCAACAGAAACAGAAGTACTGAAACATACACATATAATAATCTTTAAGGTTACAAATGCAACAAGAATTATATAGATTCCAACTAGTGTTTATCAACTGCCAAGCTGGCTAGCTAGTTTAATAGACTACAGAGAATGAGATAATATGAGTTTAAATATAGATAGTTAATGATAATGAGCTGTGCACTTGTGCAGTTTCATATTTCATTCTTGAATCGACCACTGTGATATCATGTAAATCTCTCTCTCTCTCTCACACACCTATAGAAATGCCTGTTTATGTATGTATGTATGAGAAATTGAGACTGATAATATGATATATAAGAACCTTGAGCTAGCATAATCAAAGAGCTTGCCAGTAGAAGAGAAGACTAAGAGGGCAATCTCAGCATCACAAAGAGTCGAGAGTTCCTGTGCCTTCTTGAAGAGACCTTTCCTTCTCTTTGAGAAAGTCACTTGTCTTGCTGTTATACCGTCAATTTTCTTTATCTGTATCTTCCTTCTCGTCATTTCCCTTCTCCTTCTCAAATCATCAATAACGCGAGGTTATTATATACGGTAAATTATACAGTGAAAAATCCAACACGCACGCACACAGCAAAGTTGAATTGGGTGGAAAACTGTACTTGAACTGAACAATAGAGAGGCTATACAGACAGTAAATCCAGTGGGTTTCACACGAGAGAGAATCCCTCCAAGAACCGACATATCGAATATGAAAATCGGGGGAGAAGAGAGAAAAGGATAATGCTTTTGCTGTTAAATATATTAAACTAGAAAGATTAGTGATCTTGAAAGAAGAAATAATTAAAAACAATTCCAAAGGAAAGATATGTAGAACTATATGAGAATTTCAAACTGGGCGACCAAATTGGGTGAAGGGAAATTCATCCGTCTTTAAGGATGTGAAAAATGGAAAGCCAGAAAAAAAAATGTTTTTGGCCAAGAACCTCGAACTACCAAGTTACTGGGGCAAAAAAGAAAACAATTGATAAAGCATTTTCAGAAAGAAGAAGAGTTAAGCTGGAGCTCATGCAAACATGGAACCCTACCTGGAAGATTGTAAGAGATTTCTTGAATATTGTAGGCTTCTAGCTGTTGTCCTCCTTTTATCTTCTCAGCTTTGGTGGTTCCCACGTTAATGGCATTTCAAAGGAAATTGATATATGCGCCTTTTCCTTTTATGGGCAAGTTGATGTGTTCCCTGTAGCCACCACTTCTATTACATTTTCTTCTATTTCCCGTTTTACACAGTTGGCCGTCATAAATCTTTCTGGCTTAGTTTTATAAAGGGAAAGTAAAGGGTAAGCTTGTTAACTACGAGAACTTTGGTTTATGCCTTTTCCTTGTTTTTTTTCCCAGTTAAGCATGAAAGAGTAGACATATTCTGATGAGTAATTTCAAGTGACTACCTTGACATGGGTTGTTCAAAGTGATCTTAATCCAAGATCTCAAATTATCAAAGAAATCATAAGAAATTTTGACAGACAATATCCCAAAACAAACAACTGGAGAAAAAGGGCAGTTAACAAAAAAATATGTAGTAAAGATTCCTCTTCTTCACAACCAAATAAACAGAGATCCGAGACATGAAGATAGTGTAGTATTAGAAGAATATCATCAGAAGGCAAATTTTCCAATTTATTCATGAGAAATTATTACAAAATTATCATGGTAATTATTTTTATCTTTATCTCTCATTCAAATGCATTTTTTTTAAAATGTATAAATACTAAAGAGAATGGTAGTTATTAGTCAAGGATCGCATAAAAAATTTAATACTTCCTCCAATTCTCAATATATACAAGAACTATTTCATTTAAGGCATCATATTTGGACCATTTAAATCTGAATTTGAATGGTTCAGATTTAATTTCTTCTTAATTTCTGTTATTTGTTATTAGCTAACATCATCATTTTGCTTTCTATTTTAATTTCATTTTAGACTTAGAAGACTCTAATAATATGTCAGAATGTTTTAAAACTTGTTTTTAATAAAGTCCCATCATTAATAGGACTTAAGTAAGGCAAATTTACCTATATATTGCAAATAGTTAAAAAAAAAATTTACCCAAATCTTATAAAATAAAAAGTATTCATTAAAATGTTACACTTGAAATCGTTCATGCAAAAAAACAATTCTAAATTTGTGAAGAAGTTGTTCTCAAATTTTAACTTAATATTAACTTTTTTTGTTAAGTTGAAAAGCTAAAATCATTCACTTGGTGAACGACTTTCCCATTCCTTCCTCTTTTTTTCCTGTCCTGTCTCTTACTTTTTATTTTTTTCCCCTTTCTCTCTCCCATCCCACTCTCCCACATTTAGATAAAATGAATAAATGAGGTTTGAAAATAACAAAATATGAAGATTCATAAGATAAAGGATTAAAAAAATATAAAAATGTAAAAATCAGAAAAACAATCAAAAAAATATTTATCAATTTATTTAACTTATACATTAACATATAATTTAATATTACATATGAGTATTTTAAGAAAATCAAATCATATTTGTTATAATTAATTAATTAGGTGATAGATGTTAGTTGTCACCCCACTATTATTGTCTTTTTCAGGGTAACAGAGTAAACATGGACTTGCTAATGTCACTTTCAGCATCTGTATAGGATCCTCGTATTGTGATATATTTATTTGAAACTTTTTCACACTATAATATTTTGACCTTTTTCTTTTCTTTTCCGTCTAATTTTTTGTCACGTATGGCTTAATCTATAAGCCTTATGTGATCTTCATTTGAACGTTCATGAGTTGAAATAACTGTGTCTGGTCCCCATGTCAGATCTTTTTAAGGTGAGTGAGAGAGAGAGAGAGAGAGTCCTTTCCTCATCACATTTATATTTATAGTTACTAGTTAAGAGTTAATATCATGAATTTTCTTCCACCAAAAAAATGTCCCCTTAATCTAATTCATTAGAAATAGTTAGAAATATTTTCCAAAAAAATCAGAAATAGTATTTATTAAATAAATTTTAATTTATTATTTTCTTTAGTTCAAAATATAAGAACCATTTTATAGTATAATTTACACTATAAAATGAGGTTTATATTTAGGATCGGAGGAATCTAGTTACTTACCTTTTGGTAAATCTTATTTTGGTAGTACTCCTCTTATCCTTAATATAAGATTTATTTAATTAATTTGATTAGATTAAGGAAGTTAGGTAAGTTAGTTAATTATAAGGAATATGACATGTTTTTTTTAAAACATCATAATCATCTTCCTTAATATCCTCTCTCTCTCTTCTACTTGATTATGGTTGAGGAAAATTCACAAGCATAATTTAGAAAAAATTTATAAATATGAGAAATAGGTCTTATATTTAAGACTAAAATTAACTCAACAATTAGGTCATATATTAAGAACCGGAGGAGTATCATCTATTTGAGCATACTGAAATAGAAAATATAAGGAAAAATTACTACATGCAGGTCCCATAGAAGACAATTAATTTTGAAAAGGTCCCTAAAAATCCCCAAATGTTTCCTAAGTCCCCAGGGACCTTAGAGCAAAAATTTAACTTGTGGAATTACCTACTTGCCTTCACTGAATAACAACATGCACAGCTACAATCACAACCTACACAGTAGCCAATCACAACCTACATTTAAGTCATTCACAACATGCACAGCAGCCAATCACAACCCACACTCAACCGAATGACAACATGCACAGCATACAGTCACAACCTACACAGCAACTAATCACAACCTTTTCCATCAGTGAGGGCAAGTAGGTAATTTCACAATTTTAATTTTTGCTCTGAAGTCCCTTGGGACTCAGGAAGCATTTGGAAATTTTGAGGGACTTTTTCAGAATTAATTGTCTTCTATGAAACCTATGTGTGATTTTCCCAAAATATAATAACATGATATTGTTATGTTGATTATGAATAACATGTGTGGAGGGAGGGAGGGAGGGAGGGAGTACGCAATTCATTTTTATGTAATAAAATAATGTTGTGAGTTGATATATTTTGATTGGTCAGACCACCTCACTTGTGATCTGACCAATCAGAATATATCAACTCACAACATTATTAAGTAAATAAGTTTCAATTAAAATACTACTTTCAATCTTAATTATAAAAGTTACTTAACTAATTTAAAGATATTAAAAAAATAAATTAAATTAGTTATTTATAATAAATAAATGTTGTCTTTCCTAAAATATCCTTACTAATTAAGTGTATTGATTAGAACTATCATTATTAAAAGGACTATTTTAAAAAAAAAAATATGTATAAATATGAGAGATAAAATAGATTAGGATATTATATTTAGGATTAAAATAAAAGTCAAATGAGATCTTGTATTAATAAGCGGAGATAGTAATAATTACAGGGAAAGACTCGGCGATTTCAACTTCCGTCAAGAAATTTCAAAATTTCCATCGAAGAACCCTAACCTCTACACTGCAGCCGACGCTTTTCTTCGTCCGTGAAACTCCGCCGCTGTAGCCAACACTCTTCTTCGTCCATGGAGCTCTGCCGCTCAACGCACTCGCCGTCGATTACTTAGGGAATTGGTTGTCGGCCTCGCCTTTGCCGGCAACTACGTCAGCCCAAAGGTTCCCTTCTCTTCCTCTCCTCTATTCTTTTTCCAATCCAACCTCACGCCAATCCCTTCCTAAATTATCCGCAGGATATTGTCGTTGAAGGATTGAAGGCCACAAGATTAGGACCATTAGTGTCTGGTGAAGTTGAATGAGGAATCGACGATGGTGCTTTTTTTTTTTTTGGACCAAAAGTGATGGTGCGTTCTAACTCATTAGCAATGGAAGGCCACAGTATTCTGTTCCATTATTTTCTTCGAGTTCAATTTGTTTATATTTGTTTTAATTTAATAGTTTATTAAGTTATGTTGTTTCTACCTAAAACTTCTTGATTATTTTATAATTTTACAGATCTAGTATTCAATCAAATGTTGATGATGGATAACCAACCTCTAGTCTTTGATATTCAGTTTGGTCATTCCTCAAATTACGACCTTTCGGTGAAATTCAGCAAATGGCACATTCTTGAACATATGGGAAAAAAGCTTTATAAAAATGATTTGGAAAATGCCTCATCATGTTCTGTGTCAATGCTGCTGATCATTTTTTTTTAATTGTTTGTGCACTGCAAATGATATTGTTGCTTTAAATGCAGGAGGTATGAATGTATGATGCAGCAATTGTTTGCAAGATTATGGGACGAGATGGACAGAGAAAAATGACCGAAATGGTTCAAGGCTTCTCCTCAGCTGCTGTAGGAGTGAAGGATTGATTTTAGTGTTTTCACTGTTTTAGTAGGGATGAACGTGATTCTGCACATTTGGTTGGTTTGCTTTGCAAATGCTGTATTGCACGGTTCTAGTCCTTCAAGATCATTGTATGGTTGATCATATGTATTTTGTAACATGACAAAGTTAATTCAATTAATTGAAATGTTGCTTTGCTCTCCCGATTTGACACGAGATGAATTTCTGCGCAGTTATTCCCTTCACTTTTGGAACTCTTTGTTATGCATTTTGGCATAACTATTTGGAAGAAGAATCAACTATCTGAACACCAAAACAAAGGCATTCCATTGAAACAATCAACTGTCATGTTACTGCACCAATTTAATAACATTCAATTGAAACATGACATACATGAAACATTTTTGGACAGCAAGTTACATATACTAAATAGCGGCAACCTATACCAACGAACTAACTAGTCAGCACCAACTCATCGAAGTCAAACTAAAGTCATTATCCCCTTCAATTCTCAAAAGCTTTCCACGTCAAAATTACATCGTTAGCCATTATGCCTCCCGTAATGAAAGATTTCAGCAAGGCCACGTCCTCCTCTTTTGCCATGATGCATATAATTCTCCTCCCTTGAAGTTTCATACCTACACGAAACCATAATGCCGATGCCACATTTTGATGAGGTGACCAAAAGAAGGTTTAACACTGATTGTTAATTACAATGAAAAAGCAAAGGCTGTCAAGCCAGAAAGCCATACAGACACTAGCTAGGTAAGTTTCTTTATGATCTACATAGACAACTCACTCAAAGGGAATTTAGGCCTACAAATTCTGCAAAGAGTCAGAAATAGAATAAACATCACAAAATTTCCGAAAAAAATTATCACCAGTCTTGACAACCACATCATATAATATTTTGGAACAACCCACGTCGTATTTTCAAAAGCCAGCGGAATTTTTGTGCTTGAAGTACAAGAGGAAAAACAATCTATGTGTGCAGGTTGAATAGAAATTATTGCAAACATAAGTAAAATGATTTAACATAAACAAAACAAAGTAGCCGAAATTACAAATATAGTTAAACTCACCATCCATGAAGATGCCTTGTAGAAGATATAAACAATGATATTGGTTCAAGGCCCCAGTAATCCACAAATATTCAACAGCATTTTGGACTGGCAAAATACAAATACTTGGAAAAATAATAAATAAACTGAATCAAATATGTTGATGATATGTAGGATTTGTCTTATTGTACCTCCATTCATTATCAATTAACTCAAATAACAAACATCTCATCTCAGTGAAACCTCAAGAATCACAGTGAAATGATTTTATCGACAGAGGCTCTGGTGATTGCAACGCTCTAGGTAGGAATTCTAAAATAGTTTCAAGGTTCAGACTTTTGATTTGAAGACACAGGGACCGTAAAAGTGTTCTTAAAAGCTCCAAAAATTGATTTTAAGTTAGGGTTTTGGGCTTCAAAAAATGATTTCATTACTTATTTGTAACCATAAATCACAGCTTACCAGCGACAAATCGAAGCAAAACACGATCAGAAGAGGATCGTCAAGAGACCTTCAGCCTTCAAAGCTCAAACTTCGTCTCTATTTATAAGACAATCACCAGGAAGAGGAAGATGAGGATAAATAGCCTCTTGTTCGATCAAAAATAAGAGAAAAAGGAAGGCACAGATTAACTTACCCACCAGGAAGAGCTCAAGCTTCGTCTCAAGTCACCAGGAAGAGGGCAATCATCGTTGAATGTAGAGATTAGGGTTCTTCTATGGGAATTTTCTGATGCCAGTTGAAAGCCCCGAGTTTAACTTATAATTATATTTTAATTAAAATCTTAATTGCTTAACAATTAGAGATGACTTGGCAGCCACCTAATAAGATTAAAATGTGGTGACTTGTTACATTCTGATTGGTTAGAGCATAAACGAGGTGGTGCTCCAGGTGTACCCAAGAATTCCTCTATAAGAGGTTATCATCAAAACCCCTATGTATAACATTAAACTAATTTTTCTTCCTTTTTTGGGGAGACACAATCAAGGTGTATATTTACTTCTGATACACAAATGTCATATATGAATCAGATGTATATACAGTGATATACATATAAATATAGAGTATGTATGTATGTATATCCAATACGTCGACATTTTCATTTCTTAAAGAGTATAAGATATGATGCTTCTAGGATGTGTTTATATATTCATGAAAAAATTTATAAAGCAAACAAAAAATATAGTTGGAATTCAACCAAATGTAGACTAGAATATAGTCCTTTGTTACTATTGAATACCAAAAAATACATAATTTAATATAAGAACAAGTTGGGAGCTTAAATTTGATCGTAAATATAAAATCTTAATTCATTTTATTTCTCAAATTTATAATTTCCCCCCCAAAATATTCTTAAGGAGTTCCTATCAAAAGGTAATTCCAATATACTCCTCCAGTCATAAATATAAGACCTATTTCTTAGTGTAATTTACAATACAAAATGGGTCTTATATTTAGAACCAGAGAAGTACATTATTAAAAATGATAGTTTAAAAAAATCAAGACGCATTTATTATAAATAATAAACTTAACTAATTTTTTTGATATTTGTTAGTTAGTTATCAAGCTCTTCTATTATTGTGACTTGAGAAATACGGGATAAATATATGAGAAAAGTTTTGTTATATGAAATGTGCTTTTAAGTGATTTTAAACCCATCTTCCCTTGCTTGACGTCATATGCAAGCAAAGATAAGATAATAGTATTCTAAAATTTTCTAGCGCCATCAAAGTAATTCCGCGCATTTCCCTTTTTTGCCAGCTAATTCCATGTATTTCCGCTTATTCTTTTCTCTCCTCTATAAAATGAAAAGCTTTAACATCATAATCTTTAACAGAATTTAATTTCTGTATAAAAATGTCTTAAAGTATCTAAGATTCTAGTATCCAATAAAAATGTCTTAAAAAATATTTCAATATCAATATAAATTAATTATTTAGAATAAATAAGTGTTGTTTTTCCTATAATATCATTATTAATCATATGTATTAGAACTATCATTTAATATAAATTCTTTAACGCATGCAATCATTATAACGAATACTTTGAAAAAAAAAAAAGGACAGATATGTGAGATGAGGTGGATTTATGTCTTATATTTAAGATTAAATTAAATCTCCAACTAACTTTTATATTAAAGACTGGAGATAGTATAAAGTATTGTTGTGTATGATTATATGATATAATACAATACCAATACATCAAACCATTTGAAGTATTGATGCTTCATTGGAGTGTTCTTTTAATTTACTTTGAGTACTAAAGGCAAACGATAGACTGTTCCCAATTATGTCACTACATGTACAGGGTTGACATCTAAACTCACAATCACTTGATTAAATATTTTGGCCAATTTTACTATTTATAAATTATACCCTATGTAACCTATTACTTAGTAATCAGGAAAAGTAATCTAGCAAAAATGTAAAAACAATTGTTGTATAATTATTTTTTTAATAAAGAATAGGCTAGATATGCATCCTAATATTTAATAATTAGTGGCTTTAAGGAATGACTCAAAACAATGGCTAACTGCCTTAGTGGTAATAATGTCACCTTTAGATAAAGTTTTGAGTTTGAGTTGAGTGTTGATATAGTGGGGTGTGTGTGTGTGGTGTTTGAATTGTATAAACCAAACAAAAAAGGAAGGCACTAAAACTGGCTAATGATATGTTTACTATGTTGAATAAATTGAAACAAGAGAACCTAAAAATGAATTATAATATATATTTTTGTCAAAAAAGTGAATTATAATATATGATTTTTAATTAATTATTATATATAAAACTAGCACTAAATTTTAGTAATATCATATACATGCTATTTATAAAAATTATAGTATATAAAGGCATTGTATATAAAGCTAATATATGTGTTCAATTAATGGTGATATAATGTGAAAATAATTGTTCTTCATATATGTTTTTACTTTTCAAGTGGGATTGAACACTTGTCTATTATATGGGGAGAATTACAATAAAGTCTTAAAAAAAATTACTAGTAAATCCTTAAAACTTGTCTTTGCAGCCTGCTTTGTTATTACTGGGACTTTTTAATAATTATATTCCTTATTTAAAACCTCATAACAATTCCCCGTATTATATATTGCCAAGAGCAGTAAAATTATACAGTAATAATGAACATTAGTTGATCGGATGGATTACTACTATTTTTATTTTCTTCATGAATAATAATAAAAAAAACTTCACTTCACTGCAGCCCAGGAACAGCTAAGTTGAAACAACTACACACAGCTATACACTTGCATTATTGTACAACCACTATTCATAAATTTAAAATCTAGCACTGTGCTTTTCAGTCAAGAACGGTTTTCACAAAACTTCAAAAAAAAAAAAAGATCTACTGCGCTTCTTCCTTCAGAAGCTTTAATTTCATTCAGGGAAAGAGTAACCTGCGATTCAGTAAATAAAATAACGATTAATGAAACTTGATAACCTTAATTGCCTAGAGTTTTAGACTAATTAAACTCACCCACATGGATTGCAAATCATTCATGTAAGCCACAGGGACTTACCATTAAAAACTTCATCGTCATGGACAACTACATTAATGGGGTCAACAATATCATATCAAATGTACACAGACACGCAAGTGTAGGAAGTTGCAGTACTAACAAGTTGTAAAAAGTGAAGCTTATTTAGAGCACTAGGCCCATTCAAAGCAAAATCTAATAAATCTCATCTTAAATATAAGTGCCAGATAATTAATTTACAGTTATTGAGAATGATTAATGGGGTTTGTTATCTGTAATAAATGTGGTAGTTTACCTAAAACACCACATTCATTCATTTGAATTGAAAATTACCTTCATGGATTTTTATTTTTTTTAAAAGCCCTTTAGTATTGTAACCAACATGATTGTTTGAAAAAGTATTATAAATTTGTAAATAAAATGGATTTAGGACTTACAGTTGAAACCTAAACAATGCTCCTAAACAATGCTCTTAACTAACTTCCATATTTAGGACCAAATACTTTTGAGGGAGCAAAATAACTAACCTACAGTAACCGGAGATAAAACACAGCTCTCTCATCAGTGGCGTTTATAGCAACTTGCCTTGTTGCGGGAGACTGTGTCTGATGGCTGATATTGTTCATCCTCAAGCCATTGGGCCTATCAACACATTATTTCATTTCCCAGTTCGATAAAATTCCCAGATAAGTACTGACAAAAGCAAAGACCATGGGAATCTGAAACCTGTTAATTACCTGGTTTTCTTCCGTGGATTTGATTAACTGGATTGGCATTAAGTTTAAAAACATGGTAAATGGGACGTTGTATTATCACTATGAAGACACATTAATGAGAAATTAATTGACAAGAGAATTAGTGACAAGAATCTGACAACCTTCGTTAGCCTCTGGTTTTCTTCCTTGAGTTCGTCTTCCTTTATTGACATCAAAATTAAACGCATCATTAAAACAAACAAGAGACACGAATGAAGACTCACAACGTACTACAAATGTTAACAAATATTTTATTAATGTCACATGTTACTATAACTAAAATATGGGATGGAGGAAGTGCCTTAGACACTACTGCATAGCATATTATATTACCACAAGACATGAAATACTGGAATTATAAACTCAAGTTTATGGTTAAACTTAATCAGATGTGCTAAGTTCATTTTTGTGTGCATTTAAGTTGTTGACATTGGTAAGTATAGACTTTTTGATAAAGTTATGTGTTTAAAATTTAATAAAAAACATGTGCTTTAGTTCTATGAGTTTATGTAAGTTGAATTTACGTGTCTTTAATTTGAGGCATGTCGTTTGTGGTTTTTTGTAATCTCTATTAAATATGGGCTTATTTGAAGGGTTATGGAAATTACTCTCTCCATTCCTTTTTAATGGTCACTTTTTAAGAAAATGCTTGTTTATATTTATCTGTCATTACAAAATTTGAAGATAAAAATAATTACCATTTTCTTCATTCTACCCTTGTCTTTACTAACTTCAGAATTCCAAAGGCAGCATTAATTACTAAAATAAAAGGTTAAGTTAGAAGGAATTAATTCTGATCAATACCTTCTCATTATAACAGAGAGGAAAAGACTGAATATAATGCATAGAATGCTTTTGATAAACAAATATAACGCTAACCTTTTTCTTTAGAATATTGATCTCCTGCTCAAATACTTTAACCTGAAACACATGGAATTAGTTTCTATCGGTTATAAATCTTGCAAGCTGCTTTTTACCCATGCCATGGAATCAAAAAACAGATAGAACTTACAAGCGCATCATAGCTGTTTACTATTGCTAAATAGTATAGAAACAAATGAAAAAAGAAGAGGCAACGTTATAGTGAACAGCAAACAGTATCAATAAATTCTAATTTATATAACAAGGTAAATAACATTGCATATTATCTCTCCAAAAAATGCTTTTTTGAATCAAACCCCATATGAAGCTCGGAAAAGCAAGAAGCCTCAGGTAAGCCACTTACAATTCTTAGTTGTCTAGCATATGTGTAGGTTAAATTTCATTCTTCAATTGATGAAAAATTGAAAAAAAGAACTAAAGTTTAAATTGGCTATAGTAGTCAGACCAAAGCATGTCATCTGTATAATCTTGTAAGTGTTAACGTAATAGTTGGCAGGAATATTCTATCCAATGAAGAGGCTAGTTGGGAATGGAATATTAACAAGGGAGGCATTCTTATTTGAATCCCTATAGACTAGAGTTTGACAATAGACAAGCAACACCACCCTGCATTGACAAGTCCATATTCTTTCTCATTCACCTCACCTAGTGAAAGAAGTACCAAAAGATCAACAAGTTCTTCAGCATCAAGATCCTCTAGTGAAATACCACCAAAAAATTCAAGCGCTTACTAAAAGTAAATTTATGCATTTTGTAGTTTTTCTGTGTATGTCTCGAACCCCCACACCCAACTTCTTTAGAAGCAATAGAAAAATTTGAGCGGCAAAGTGCTACGATAGAGGAGATTCAAGCCATTCCAAAAACTCGACATGCATGGGAGTTAGCTGTTCATGAAGGCAAAAAATGTCATAAGGTCCCCGGGGTAGAGCTGTTAGAGCCCAACCCATTTAAACCCTTTTAGATTGAGGACCAGCAGGCTTAAAAATTAGGTCCCAAAATGAGTAAATGGGTTAGACGTTGGGCCCATTTGGGTCAAATAATTAAAAGGCCATCCCTTAAATATATGTTTTTTAATTTTTAAACTACTAGAGACCAAGAGAGCTTCAGTCCCTCCATCCTCACACCAACTGCCCCCAGATCTCATTCTCAAGCTTCAATTCTTCACTCTTCCTTCAACTCTCAAAGTCTCACTTAGCTTGGTTGTTCTCCATCTAGATTTGATGCGGTGTAAATTGTTTGTGATTTTATCTTTCCCCATTTCCCCATTCCTCTGCTGACAACGCAGTGTCCTTGACTTCTTTCTCCTAAGCTCTCCTTCATTCCTCTTGTGCTCTACTCTATCATACTCCTCTTGTTCTTTCATTTAACATGGCTAATGTTCTATTAACATAGAGTAGTTATTATGAACTGGATCACAGCATGTTTGAATCAATTATTTGTGCTTAATGTTAATTTTGTTTGTTCAAACACGCATTTATTTGTTTAGTTGATGCTTGGCCAATATTAATTATGAATCAGGAGGATTAGGGTTTTCCTTGACAAAGGGAATCTTGATTATGGATATAGATTGGGAAAGTGGGATTAGATGTGTTCTAATTTGCCATTAGGATAAACATATACCTAACGGACCCTGTATAATCATTAAAGAGTAGCTTTGGATTTTATTGCCTCTTGAGTAATTATGCTGGGAATGGCATGTTTAACACTTTACGAGAGGAGTATACCTGAATCAAGAGACGTTAATAGCCACTAAAATTCATATTAACTAAAACGGATTACCATTATAGGGTATGTGGTTTTGGAACAAGAACATTACCATTATGGCTTATATATTTTTTATTTCAAAATGTTAAAAAATAGCTTTTTTTGGCCCGGACCTTACTAATGGAAGCATTTAAGAGTATAAAGCTCGATTTGTTTTCAAGGGATACTAACAACAAGGTATGAATTTTGAGAAGACTTCTCCAACTCCTCAATCTGAAATTGTGAGAGTTGTTTCATTTTTGGTTTCTTAGTTGCAGTTACCTGTTATCAATTTAATTCAAATTCTGCTTTTCAAATGATGAGTTAGAAGAAATTGTGACATCCGATAATTTAACAGGGACATACATGAAAATTTGTAGGGACCAACTTGTAGAGAATTATATAGTTTTGAGGTTTTATCCTAATTATGTATAGTGAAGGAGAAGTTGTGGCAGAAATATATAACTTCACAATTATGGTACAAAACAGTCCCCTCAACATTAGAATGTACAACAAGGGAAAGTATGAGATTTACAAGAGATTAAACCATATCTTTCTATAAAAGATGTATTTTGATATATTTACCCCTTCATAAAAAAAATTTTTAAAATATTAATCCTTTTATGGAGTAAATCCTACACATTATAAACCCCAATTTTCTTTTGCCGCTCGGCCAAAAAAAAGGCAACGATAGCTTTACTGAGGCAGGGAAGGAAAAAGCAAAATTAAAATTGAGAAAGTTATCTACATCACTAACCTAAACTTCCCTCCTCTAATTCTACAAGATCTAATCCCTCCATATATGGAAAATTCAAAATTTAAGGCAACTTGTTGAGATAGGGAGTTATGATTAGGATAAAAGATATCAAATAGACAAGAGGCGAGTCTCCCATCAATTTTAATGTAAGTTCCTTCTTCTAAAATTAAAGATTTCAAGACTTTGGATTTTGCATCAATAACTTCAAGAATTTCTTTCTTGAGAAGCCCTGGTGTACTAAGATGTTAGGCAGGACAAAAGACATGAAACTAGACAGGTTTTTGAGTAGGCTTGTGAGATTATTGATACAATCTTTATTTGGAGCGCTTGTTGTTGTAAAACAAATAGTACGGAAACCTCTTACGAGTAAAAGCCCAAAAGGAGAGCTAAATCTCATAAGACAGTATATTAGAAAAAAGAGCTCATTAAACTTGTAAATCACGCTACACTTGTGAGGCTTCCCAATACCCTTGATATTGTCAATTCTGCACAAGATAGCAATACTGCTCTTCTTATATGTCTGTCTTGCTTGAGGCCTAGTTTATTTTATGCAGTTTTATGTCATAAGTAGATCTGTACTCAAAGTTAGAGCCTTGAATAGTTAAATATTGCCTCTTTGGCAGAGAATTATACCCTTGTGGCAAAGAAACTCGAAGGCAGAGCCTGTATAGTAAGAAAGCCTTGTGGCTAAGAGATGTCTTTTTGGCATAATAAGCAGGCTAGGTAAGGGGGAGAGTGCAGTGGTTCTTTAATAATGAATTCTAGGTGTTTATGATATCATCTAATTAATATGTATGTCATCTTTTATATGGTGATTCATTTGATGTTATTATATATGTGTATTCCCTTCCTATTGGGATTTTCCCCAAAATATCATCCCCTCTTGTCAACCCATGCTTGGTGAAGTTAGCGGAACATACAATGACAGGCAAGTTGTCAATTCAATTATGATTCAGTTACATTTGGAATAATTAAGGGATGAAAAGCATCCCATAATTGCGTCAGATTTATCAGGTTTCTCTTATTGGAGTTATAACGGTCAACCTAAGTTATATTTGGCATATTCGGTAACTTATAGTTATAAATATATAAAATGATTTATGAACAGAGATTTGACAGGACTATGAATGATTTTCCTATAGGATATGAGGATTACGAGACTCTTTATTATCAATTATAAAAGGAATGCAGATAAGGTTAGTTAGTGCCTTAAATCGGTCATTGTGAGCACTCGTTAATTTGCATCTTGCACAGTTGAAGGGTCAAATGAGCATCAAACAAGAAAAATCATTTCGTATAACTAAAGGGCATGTAGTGCATTAAAACTAGAATTTATTTAGGTTACTTCGATCCCTGTAGCATGAGGCAAAGTTGAAACACAATACAAGAGAAAATGTTTAAATTATGCATTTTATTATGAGGATATAGTTGATTTGTAATCTGTGATTTAAAATTATCTTCACAAAAGGGGAAAGAATTTTAGAACATTGCTAACATTCTTCGCTGGAACCATGGATTGCGATAGCCTTATGGTAGCCCCCTTTAAAAAAAAAAAAAAAGTAGCCTTATGGTAGCCAAAATACAAAGAACAAAAAGGTAGCTTTATAAAGAGACTTTAGTTGACCTTTCTAATGATAAAAGAATAGGGAGATCTTAACCTTATCTAATTTTTATGTCATTCACTTCCTACTTTTTATGCTGCAATGAATATTTGAAATACAATATATAGTTTTGTCATTATAAAAGGGATAAATCGAATATTATGAGCTAAACAAGATGAATAACAGTCAAATAGCCTCTGCATATTAGACAGTTATTTCAAAGGGAAAACGACCAAAAAAAAATACATGTTGAATTTCAAAAAGACAAATAAGCCATGGTGACTATTCTTGTAATGGTTTAGACTACTCTTGTAATGATTTTAATAAGCCAAAATCAGTCAAAATCACTTATCTATCATTTTGAAATTCAACAGATATTTTTTTTGTTAATTTTTCCTTTTTCTCAAATAAGCCATTGTTTAATCGACAGTTGATTTGATAAATGTAATTTACGGGATAAAACAATCATAAAATATTTCAATTTTTGTAATACTGTCATGAAAGGAAAAGGCAAACCTTTGCTTTTGAAATGCGATGCAAGCTTGTGCTAAGTAAATCTTCTAGCTTCCTCAGATCTTTTACAGACAGCCCTTGCAGATCTTCTCCGTTGAGCTGTCTATTATTAGAGTAGAGCAACATATTTGAAGCTATAATAAACACATTGTAGATCCCCCATTATAAAATCTTTAGCAACATTTAATAATGGTAATAGTAATACCTTATTTCAAGAGTCTTCTCTTTTACTTCCTTGTTTAGCTTAAAATATTCACCTTCAACCTGTCCAATTACCATATGCTTTCCACATTCAATAACAAAAATTTTAATATACTCCAAGCATTTTCATATTAGGTATGTATATAGTCCATCATATCCTTGAATTAAAAAAGAAGTTACTGTTGAATAATTATAGCAGTAATATAATATACTCCCTCCGCTTTTAAATATTAGTTAAGAGGTTTCTTTTGGTTCTAATTGAAGTAGACCTCAGTTCACTTTGTATTCCAAATTTATAATTTTTCTTGAAATTATCTCTATTTTTTATAGGCATTAATATCCCCCTATTAGAGGCAATCCTAATTGCACAAATAAAAGGAGCTTTCATCAATGAGTGTAGTTTCCAATGCCAGTGACTAGAGGGGATATTTCAGGATAACCAACACACATTTTTTAACAAATAACTAATTTAATTTTCTTAATATATATAAATTAGTTATTTAACTCATATATTTAGGTTGAGAGAAGCGTATTGCACTCCCTCATATTCATATTATAAGACGTTTCTAACTAATTTGCGAGTACTAATAAAAATAGTTAAAAGCATTAAATTTGTCATAAAATTTAAGTGATTTCTAATATTATCCTTATTAATCACACTAAATTTCAATATCATATTAATTTTTATTCTCTCTCACTATCCTTGTTAAATATGGGCATATATGAGAATAATATTTAATGCTCATTGAAACGATCAAAATGTCTTATAACCAAAAATATTTTTGTAAGATTTTTTATATACAGACACACAGACAGAGAGATGGGAAAAAGAAAGATGAATCAAAACAGCGATAGATGAAGGGGTAGAGAGCAGAAGAAAAATTATATACCTGTAGCTCTTGAGGTGGCTGGTATGACTTCACAAGGTTCACATCTGAGTATAGGTTTCTCCTTTCAATTACTTGCCTCGTGCTTAAAACAACAAAATATTGCAAATTAAAATGGAAGTCATACTTTAAAACTACTTCTAACTGAATTATATAGCATAAATTATCATTTGATGAATTAAAATTATTTATCGAATTTAAATTTTAATCGAAGTCATACTTTTGCTGGGGGGAGGGGCACAATGAAAGTCATAGTTAAAATAAGTGAATTTAAATACAGCATTAAATTTGTTTATATATTCAATCAGTCATGTATATATATACCAATGAATTTATTCTTAGTGGCTTCTATGGCAAAACATTACAGATGCGTGTTTTATTTAGAGATATATATATATGTGACAATAATGTGTAATATAATAGCATCTGTTTAATTAACCGAATCTTGACTCCAGATAGACTCATTCAAAATTATAACATTTAAATATTGCCATTAATGGATATCAAAATCTGAAGACAACAAGGAAAACCTCAAGAGCAATCTGTTATAAGTTGATAGCCTTACAAAATTTTTAGTATCTTCAAAGCAAAAGTGACCTGACTGTTCCAGTAGCATGTTCTCATAATCCTCTTTAAACTGTTTTAATCCACCTAATTAATCAATAAAAAACACAAAAAAAATTATGAACTAAAATTTAATTTGGGATGTTCTCTATTGACCTAAAAAAGAAAACATCCCTACCTCTTTAAAATATGCCGTATTTGTACTTCTCTAGACCATTTAAATTAAACTAGAAGATTTAAATCATCTTTTGATATTTTTTATTTTGAAAGAAACATGGTAAAAAAATATATACAATTTTCCAACACCATTGAAAGTGATTTTGAATAAAAATAGAATTAAAATGTTGAGATAAAAACTATCTCACGTACAGACTATATCTCCGTAGAGATGAAGAGAGGACATGCTGTACTGCTTGAACAGCGTATTGTGGGCCTTTTTTTTTAAGAAATCAAAGACGAATACATTATTCTTGACTTGTGAATAGTGTAGTTTCTTGTAGATTTTATATAATTGATATAACTATATTGATTGTTATGGCAAGGATCATATTTTTTTTACAGAAGGAAAATAGCATCTTGACATTAACAAAAGCCTCCGGAACTGAAGCAGCTTCATGAAATCTAATATTCCTCCATACATGTGTCGTTTTCGTTATTTTCAAACCACTATTTTGTACTATTTTAAGTTTTAAACGTTGATTATTGTACATATTATTCACATCAACGTTGAACAAATTCCTTGGTCTCTCTTCCAAGACTATCAAGATTTCAGTGTTCAAACTATTTTAGCAGCAACCTCAAGACATTGTAGTAAAAAGTTAAAGGTATAAGCAAAACACAGTTATGATGAGATTACTCATTATTTCCAATTATACCCACATGATTAATTCTCAGATACACACATAAAAGCACACAAAAGGACTCTATCACAACTTTTTGGTCAGCACATCGTGTTCAAGCTTTCCTCTTACAGCAAGAGAAGTACTTTGTGGAAGCAACTTGAATCTAAATGATTTCAATTAGAGAGAGAGAGAGAGAGAGAGAAGGTACCTTGTACTGGCATAACAGAAGGTAATTTTCACCAAAACATGAACATGGTAAGTGATGATCAAACAGATGAGATACATAAATGCTGACACTTCAAAAAGAATAGACAAATGAATTATGGGGTCAAACTTGGTATGCTAATAATCTAGATTCTAGGTTGAGTTATTGTGCTTTTTAGAGCCATTTCATGTGAAATCCAACTCTATCAAAACTGAAGGAGATTATATAGACAAATTTAGAAGAGAGCACAAATGGGACGAATAAAAGCATAGGCTATCACAGCTTCTTTATCAGCAAATAAAGATCAGGATTCCTTTTCCTCTAAACAAAAACGAAAATCCCAGACGTGATTAAAATTCAGATTATTCTGATTCCTAGTGATAGAACACACATATACATTATATAGAGAGAGAAAAGATACCTTGTACTGGCATAATCAAAGAGTTTGCCCGAAGCTGAAAATACTAAGAGAGCAATCTCAGCATCACAGAGAGTTGACAGCTCCATAGCCTTCTTGAATAGACCTTTCCTTCTCTTTGAGAAAGCCACCAGCCTCGCAGCTACGTTCTCGATCTTCTTTATTGCTATCTTCCTTCTCGTCATTTCAACCAATCTCTCCTTCAAACTAAAGCCAAGTTAAATCAAAGAGAAAGAATTAGGGAAATCTAAAGATTTAATCCAGTCTCATACAAAAATTAATTACGCAGAAGAATATTATCTGCGTGTTAAACGAAAAAGACAAGCATAAAATGAAGAGAACTTGGATTGGGCGTAGGTGGAACAACAAGATAAAAAGAGTTTGAGGCTTGGATAGGATAGATTAGGAAGGATAAGTGCAGATCTAAGTAAGAAATACAGAGAGAAGGGGAGGTTTCTTCTTGAGAAGGAGAGCGAAGTGTTGTTACCTGCAAGAATATTCTGAAATGTGATGACTGAAGAAAGGATGAAAGATAGAGTCCTGGTGAGCAGGAAATTATTCAGGAGGAGACAGGCTTCCCTAAATTTTTTTTTAAAGAAAAAGGAAAATAAAAGAAACTCGCGCGGTGGGTAAATTGATTGCATTAATTGCAGCTTTATGTATGGGCATATCATGTATTGGCCCTTTAATGCCACGAGTTTGGGATCGCTAATTCACTATTTAAAAAAAAAAAAAAAAAAAGGCTGCCGCTCTACTCCTTGTAAAGAAATTTTTTTGTCAAAAACATAAGTAATTTGTAGGGTATTTAACGATTATTTTCTAATTTTGTGAGCTCTTATTAAATTTTTATTGAAAAAAGAGAAAGAGAAAAGAGAGATAACCGGTAAGAATGATTTGTAGATAAAGAGAAATAGAAAATTTTAATGAGGGTGTGTTTGAAAAATTTTATCCATGCATACAGTTTTTGGTATGTGAGAATAAGTTTTAAGTGACTTATAATAAAAACTCGAGTAGTATTATATTTTATAAGACAAAATTTTCTTCACATATTTATTTTATATAATATAAAATTACTAAAAATAAATTGTGGTAAATTATATCTAGTATTCTAAAGTATTTTTTGTGGTATTTAGTATCAAAAAAAAAATTTATATACATTTAGCATTTTAAAATATTTTTTCAGTAGTACCTAATGTTCTAAAATAAATTTTAGTACAATTTTGTCCCTAAAGCATTTTTCTAATAGCAACAAGTACTTTCTACACTTATAATACTGAATGTTACTAAAAAAATATATTAATTATGGTGATAGATACATCAAAAATTATTTTACGATACTATATGTTATTGCAAAATTGTTTTGGATTGTTGGAGGAGGGAGCAAGGGAGGAGGTATTTGGTTATTCTTTGAGCACATTGTTGATCCCTCCTGTGCTATGGGATGCATTTTGAAAAATAAAAGTTTAAATTATAAGCTGCCTAGTAATTGCATCGATTCGATAAACGGCTCATTGGAATAGGTAAACAATACACCCCCTAGAAACGTATAAGTTTTCTTCTCGTACGGCTTGAGAAAATTCAAAATTCTGTCTATATATAGAATTATGATGTCAAATAGATTCATAAAAATCATCAAATCCATTAGACTATGATTTAAATTAAATATTTTTCTTATTCTTTCCCGAAAAAAGAAAATCACTCGTATTCGTAACCTCATAACTCAAGTTGGATAACTCTCAAATAACTCAAAGGAACGCAAAACCTTTAATTAGGCATTTTATTTCATTTATTGAGAGGTCTCTACCCCCTTTCTTGTCTGTCTATTAAATTATAAGCTGCCTAGTAATTGTTGGAATATTTTTAAAATGAAGAGATGTGTTTTTGAAAAGTCATGCCCGGATGTAAATTTATTAAATTAATAAATTTATATAAGGGGCTATGTCTTCATATAAATTAATAAATTTATTTGAAGAGTTGTATTCTCACATAAATTAATATATTTATCTGAAAAGTTGTGTCTTCATATAAATTAATATATTTATATGAAAGGTTATGTAGGAAGTTACAATACTAAAAGACCCTACATATTAAATACATTTTATTTATTTAAATTATGTTAGCTCATGAACCAACATATGAGACTTTTTATTTAATAAAGTATTATTCCAAAAGGCATCTCTTCAAGGCATCATTCCATGGTTTGTATAAACCCGTCACCATCACTTCATTTGGACACAACATAATTCAAACACAAAAATCAAACTCATTGCCTTTGTCTTTGAGTGCACATACAGGTAGAGTCAAATGATCACCTTGTAAAGGCCATTGTTGTCTTTGTTTGAATCTTGGAAGTGCAATCTATATTCAAGGGTCTTTATTGTATCCTGAAAGAAATTCTCTAGTCAACCCAACTTACACCCTATAAGATAAGAATAGGTAGAGGCAAATTAAGCCTAGAGGAAAGTGCTGCCCATACCTTGAAGACATCATACACTACTTTCTTTTCATCTCTTCTTCTTGTACTCTTCAAAAAAACCATCCCTACCACCAGTAATGATATCAGATGATTTTTTATTTTATTTTTATAATTTTAATAGCGACCTCATTTCTCTTTAATTTAATTGAAATGTTACAATATTTTCAAATAAATAAAAAAATTTAACAACGTTTTTAAATTTGGGTAAGAAAGTGGATAAATGACGAGACAGGAACACGTCGTCATTTGAGGGGAAAAAAAACTAATTGTAATTCTTTCTAATTGATAACTATGTCAGATCATATTGACAATTAATATTAAATAAAGTAAGTATTAAAGTATGTATAAAACTATTAAAGTTATTAACAATTTTTTGATAAGATATCGAAATATTATTTTCTAAAAATCCTTCTGACAATTCATATATTGTTGTCCAATGTTGATGACTGAATATATTAAATTTTATTATGTTTGATGTACAGATATTTTCTTATTGGAAGCAATTCTATTTGAGGTATTAGCAGACACTAAACGTTAGAAGACAGTGCTTTATATGATTATTTTTAATAGGAGAATACTGATGCCTAGAGGAAAAAAAATACCTTGATTCAAAAAGAACATAACTTTTAAAAAAATTATCTAATATCTAGTTTTGAATGAATTCAATAATGTGTGTTAGTTTTAAGAGATAGGATGAACAAAAAAATTTACCTATTATACTATCGAAAAGAAACACTAGGCACCATAATAAAATTTCGGGGGTAAAAATACTCATTAATTTTTCAAAATGGGGCAAAAATGCTATTTTTGTTGACTATCCTTAACGTCCGTCACTTTTTCTTTTGTGAATCCCACTAAACATACACGTGTCTCTTTCTCACTACTCACTTTGTCGTCTACTCACACATTGTCACACACCCTCACTTTTTCTTTTCATTTCTCTGTCTCTCTCCTCCCCTTTCTTCTTCGCGTTTTCTTTTCTTCAAAGTTGGACACACACAGTCAGCGGAATCTAGAAGCCATGAACACTGGCATTGCTAACTTCCAATCCATTCTCGACAAACCCCTTAGTTAGCTCACCAGTGAAGATTGTCGCAAGTTTTGTCTTTCTTTGCCTCTCTTATATTTTTTATTCTCTCTCTTACATTTTTTATTTCACTACAAAAAAAAAGCTCATTACTAACAAAAAATTATACTATCGCTAATTTCTGACGGATTACCGATAGAGATTTCGTCGCTAAATTTAGCGACAAATTCGTGACAAAATTTTGTCCGTTGCTAATCCGTCAAAAAATCTGTCAGTAAATATTTAGCGATGTAATTTTTTATCAAAAATTTTCGTCGCTAATTCCATCGCTAATCCGTTACTAATTTTAAATTTCATTATTTTAGATTATAACCTTACAACAATTCATATAATAACGTAATTAAGAAATGATTTAAATATATTTTTAATTGTAAAATAAATTGATGTATTTGTAGAGTTGGTGTTAATGAAGGTATCATCATCATTCATGTCATCATTAGGTACATATTGAGAATAGGAAGACAATTTCTTAGAAAACTTGTTTATATTTCATTAAAATCAATTCCTCTTGATTATTAATAATAAGAATATTAATAACTTTTTTATACAAACTGATATAAGAAAGAAATAATTTTATCATATGTACAATATATTGAAAAATATAATATATAATAGAAATTCAAAACCAAAAATGAATTTATATGAATACAAGCTAATACTAAAGTGAATTTTGAATTTCAATCATTAAACAATAAAATTTAATCGTGATATAATTAACACCGGTAATATAGATTGATTTGGGTCTTCTATGCAAAAACAAATGATATATATAAAGAATTTTAAGAAAATAAATTACATAGGATATATACATATGCAAGTAGGAGAATATTGTTTATCATAATCTATTCAAATCATTTAATTTTTTTAATAGAATACTTTATTAGATTTTATTATAGTAGTTATTTTTTGAATAACTAGATTTTTTTTTGCTGACTATAAATGGTTTTCATCAAATATATAAAACATATATAGATAATATAATATAATGTAATATAATATATATATATATAATTAAATTGGATATCTTATCAATGTTAATAAAAAATAAATTTTAAAAAATATTTATGAAAAAATTATTTATGATTTAAAATTCAAAATTAGTTTCACTGGAAATTAAAATTATATTAAAAATATAAAAAACTATTATAAATAGTAAAAAAATATTTAAAAATTATTCTGTCATTAAAATAGGTATGATTAAAATTATCATATAGTTTATTTTTAGTTTTTATGAATATATGTATGTATATAATATTATTTGTGTAAAAGAATATTATATATATTTAATTTTGCATAGCAAGTCAACAGATTCATTGTAGCTCAATTGGTAAAGCCGCATGTGCCCATAGACGAGGTGTCAGGTTTGAGCCATGGAGAAGTCACTTTGAGAAGGAATTATGTGGTTGTGACACGTGGCAGGCAGAGGTGAGATGGCAGTGACACGTGGCGATCATTGTTGAGGTGGCAAGGACACATGTGGAGGTAGTCGATGGTCGTCATCTGTGATGACATGGTGACTGGTAGAGGAGCCACGTGGCATTTTAATTTTTTTTTTTCAAAAATTGGGTTAGTAAGGAATTAGCAACAAAAATTCCGTTGCTAATTAGCAACGAATTTGCAACAGAAATTTCTATCAATAATTAGCAATGGATTAGTGATAGAAAATTTTTATTGGTAATTAGCAACAGAAAATTCTGTTGCTAATCCGTGGCTAATTACTCACGAAATTTCAATTTCGTCGCTAATCTAATTAGTAACAAAGGAATTAGCGATGGAACAAATTCTGTCACCAATTCAATTCTGTCGCTAATCCGTCACTAAATTCTCTTGCCAATTTTTGCTACTTGAAAATAGAGGTCCTCCTCCATTAGCCTTTTCTTTGAGAGAAAAAAATAAAAATTTTAACTATTGGGTTGAGCAAATATTATAATAATGCATTGTGGAATAAAGTATGTAGAGGGTACTTGCTCAATTATAAGAGACAAAAGGCGATGGATTTGGTGAGACTTTTGGTAAAAAAAAAAAAAAAGAACAAGAAAGAACAAAGCTAACAACGACGGTAACCATTTTTTATCAATGAAAAATTCACACCAAATCGAAGAAAGCTCATGAATGTTGAGAGAAAGCTTTTCTGGCAGATTGTCTTTTTGTTTAGCCATAGTCGACTACAGTGGCTGTCCTAGTAGTGGTGCTGAGGGAAGCAGATGGAGTAACCTTGAGGGGATTAGGGGTGGAAGAGGATTAGAGGAAGATGAGGAAGAATTTATGTTTGATCTAGATCGTATATAATTTTTTGGGTTTTCTTTGTTTGAGTTATGTTTCTGATGGGAGGAGGAGGACAAAATGGAAGGAGTTGATAACTGAAACATCCCACCTCTAACCCCTTAGAGTACGTATTTGGAAGTGTTATGGTTCAAGCGATTCACGGACATGCCCATATATTGAAAATTTGCTATTGGTTCTCGGGTTACTGTGCACTAGTTAAATTTTAGATTTTTGGTCCAACTTGAAAAATTCATATCTCCTTGTGTACACATCTAATTGAGGTGGTTTATCTATCATTTTAAAGCTTGGGATGTGTACTATATGATTATCAAATTTCATGGTCAGGTTCCACTAATTGTTAGGTCAAACTGGAGCTACAAACTCATTGCCCCAAGACCTATTTTTATCTTTCATTAACTTCTTACTTTTAATTCTCCCTTCATTCAAACATGTAACAACTAGCCTTATGGATTCCCATTCATTCATATACTTTGAGTTGCATGCCATTAACATTATACATCAAACATTACATCACATTCCATACTTGACATATCCACAATTAATTACATTACTAACGACATCAATCATTACATTGAAATGCATGTAAATTCTCCACTTCCTTTGTTTCCATCTTCTTGCCCTTCTTCATGCATGCCTTCTCCTTATCATTTGACCTACCATGGTTGGTTAAGAGAGGGTGAGATTCGGGAGAATTTTAATAGCAAACAATAACTACTCAAACATACATGGTAAGCTTGGCATTCATAACATGCTTGCAATTTAACATTTTTATAACATAGTGACATGTTTGGAAATCATCACACATTAACCATAAAACACATAGGCCTATGACACATTTCAACCATATTCACAATTACAATGCATGAGTTCATAAAACCATATAAACACAAAACATGTTACATATGTAAGCAAATACCAAGCACATAAGAGTCAAGTTTGCTACCTTGTGTCCTTAAGCTTTCTTCTTACTCCCTTTTGCTTTTAACCATTAAGGTTGCTTGTTTAACCACATCCAAACCTTCTCTTGGATTCATCAAGGTTCTAATCACAGCCACAAGGGTCACATTACTTATTAGAACCACAAATTACAGAATATGGAAGACTTATGTCCCTAAACTTCATCCCATTTTTCTTAATTTATAATTTAGTGTTCTAGCTTTGTAAAAATTGTTCCCTTAGGTTAATCCTACACAATTTTGCCCAATGAATGCAAATATGAGCTTAGATTCATCAAAATCCCTGCACAATTTTTCATTTTAAACATATTACAAGCATCAAAATCATCAAAATCACATCCTAAGCACATGAACCTGTTCTAGCCAAAACGTTTTCTCAAGTTACACAATCATGAAATCTAACCAATTTCAGCATAAAACTACTTGATTCGTGTTTTTTTCAAGACTTTAAACATTATTCTAACATCAATTTCATCTTCCCCTATCCTTAATAATTTCGTGCAGCATACTCTCTTAGGATTTCAAGCTCCCGAAAACGATTAAAATCCATAACCAAACTCAACAACAATAAGGGTAGTGAAAACTACATCAAAAACCATGAACATACCTTGTTTTAGAGCTTGATCTTGCATATGACCACTTGACCTTTCTTTCTCCCTCTTCTTTCTCTCTCTAGAAATCATTTTGCCACAGCTTTCCCAAGGTTTCCATGAGGTTGGACAAAAATGAGGGGTGCGGAGGGAGTATTTATAGAAAACAAGACTAAATTTAGACCATTGATCTTAAGAACGTGTGGCTTGATCTGGACCGTCCATTTTCTCTTTTAATCTTATGGTGACAAGTGTCTTATGACATCATGTTTACTTCATCATGATGACATCATGCTTACATCATCAATCGACATGCTTTTAATCTGACAGTACACGTGTCTTGCATCCGACTGTATACATGTCTTACATCCAGCTGTACACGTAATACCTTCTTTTCCCATGTAACCGTACACTTGTCTCTTCCATTTTCCTTCATCATTAAGGAATTAAAATAGAGAGGAAATTAATATAAAATTTGTGCAAAATATCACCCTTAGGCTTTCCTCCACCTATCTTGCCATTCTACACCATATAGGGTACTTTTTCGGGTCTTGACTTTTCCGGGACCATTGGGACATGTTATGGTACCATTTTCTCACCTCAAATAAATCCACATGGCATTATATAACATGCTCAAAGAGAGATTGATGCTCTTCCCTTGTTCTTCCATTAAAATAATTAAAATAATTAATAATTAATAATATTTATTTCAAAGTGATCTTGACCGAATTCTTTCTACCGGTCCACAACTCCGAGAATCTATCTCTAGGTACCAATACTATTTATTCATAACAGGGAATTCCTCTAATTTTTCTTAAGTCAAAAGTCAATCTCTAAGCATTTGACTTTGACTTTCCATAGATAGTATGTAAATAGGTTTTAAATTCCATTAAAGCCACCCTCTTCACTTTCTAGGGACGAAATTATTTTTAAAACCTGTGACAATTCCTCAAGTATTTTCTCCCATTTTCTTCAATTATCTAAGGTCTCCCTATGCCTTAAATAATTCATTTTCAATAATATCCAAAATCAGTCAAAACCCTGGGAATCCCACAAATTCCTTCCAATAGCATTTTCATCATTTTTAGCCTCATACAGACTTCTAAACCTTATTCCCATTTTTTTGGATTTTTTTTTGAAGTGTTTAGGCCTTAACCTACCATTTCCTATTTTTTGAGATTTTTTTGAGATTTTGGGCATAATTTCTATTTTTACCCTTACCAGCCTAAAACTTTACAAAACTATAATTTTGCTCCTGGTTTGGTTTAACCTCAAGATTCACCTCATTTAGTGCAAGTCATGTGTCTCATTAATATAATCTTCTCAATATTTATTCATGTTAGGTATAAATTAAAGTTGCGTACCTCAATCCACGAGTCCTTTCTGCTACCACCTTGTGCAGCTTAGTCTCATCACCTCCAAGCTTGTACATATTTCAAAAAAAAACAAAAAAGGATTAAGCTTCCATGATTTTCCATTCCTTCATATGTTATCATAAATTGATTTCAATATTATGTCATCCCTCGAAGTAATTCTCCCATCTTTTCAGTTCTCTCGTAGAGTTAATTCAAGACCTAGGGTTTTTTTGTAGGGCAATGCAGCCTGATCACTTACTGTTAATGCATATTATAGAGTATGCATAAGATTGGCCCCATTTCAAAGGAAGTTGTGAAGTATGAACAATACAAAGAGTCGAAAGGGATAGCTCAATTTCTTCAATGAGTTATAATCTTCCTAAGAAGCGGATCCCTTTTCCCATCTGATTCATTTGGTAAGTGCTTCCTTAGATATTCAGCTGTCGAATTCCATAATGAATTAAACAAGAAACCATTTGTGCGCCCACGCGTGTGTGAGTCACAATTTGAGAGTAATTAACCAGAAAAGAAGTTAAGTATCTTAACCAAAAAAGAAAAGAAAAGGAATCAAGTTAATTAAAACGAGCTATGTGCACTGACACAAAACTTGAGATATGTCATGCTATGTGATTGGTATTAATATATTGATTACCTGCAGATCAGTAGATGATTGGCCTAGTCTTTGAACGACAGAATGTTGATCGTACCTTTCAATTACCCGCCGCATACTGAAACAACAGAAATAGTAACTCAGTGACTTTTTATTTCCCTTCAAGATCAATCAGTGGAAAAGATCAATCAATCAAGCACAATTTTATGTCAAATTATATGGAGTAACAAAATTCTTTCAGAATCCCAATGGGAAAACTCAAAACCTTCAACTGTGGATATTAATCATGATTCCATTACTTTAAGCCTATGAAGTTACTTTCTTATTGGTTGACCTTTTAAGTTATTAATTACTAACAGAAACAGAAGTACTGAAATATACACATATAATAATCTTTAAGGTTACAAATACAACAAGAATTATATAGATTCCAACTAGTGTTTATGAACTGCCAAGCTAGCTAGCTAGTTTAATAGACTATAGAGAATGAGGTAATATGAGTAAAAATATATATAGTTAATGATAATGAGCTGGGCACTTGTACAGTTTCATATTTCATTCTTGAATCCACCACTGTGATATCATGTAAATCTCTCTCTCTCTCTCTCTCACCTATAGAAATACCTGTTTATATATGTATGTATATACGTATGAGAAATTGAGACTGATAATATGATATATAAGAACCTCGAGCTAGCATAATCAAAGAGCTTGCCATTAGAAGAGAAGACTGAGAGGGCAATCTCAGCATCACAAAGAGTCGAGAGCTCCTGTGCCTTCTTGAAGAGACCTTTCCTTCTCTTTGAGAAAGTCACTTGTCTTGCTGTTTTACTGTTAATTTTCTTTGTCTGTATCTTCCTTCTCATCATTTCCCTTCTTCTTCTCAGAATCATCAGTAACGCGAGGTTATTATATACGGTAAATTATAAAGTGAGAACTTCAACACGCACGCGCACAGCAAAATCGAAGCCGGGGGGACTGTACTTGAACTGAACAATAGAGAGGCTACACAGACAGTAAATCCAGAGGGTTTCACATAACATAGAGAAAGATCTACAATAATATATCATTATTCTTCACAAAATCCAAGTATCCCACCAAGAACCGACAGACTCAAAGATGAAAATCGGGAGAGAAGAGAGAAAAGGATAATGCTTTTGTTGTTAAATATATTAAACTAGAAAGATTAGTGATCTTGAAAGAAGAAATAATTAAAAATAATTCCAAAGGAAAGATATGTCGAACTATAAAAGAATTTCAAACTGGGCAATCAGTTGAAAGTGATTTCTTTATGACGAAATTGGGTGAGGAGAAACTCATCCATCTCCAAGGATGTGAAAAAAGCCAAAAAAAAGAATTATGTTTTTGGCCAAGAACCTCAAACTACCAAGTTACTGGGGCAAAAAAGAAAACAACTGATAAAGCATTTTCGGAAAGAAGAAGAGTTAAGCAGGAGCTCATGAAAACATGGAACCCTACCTGGAAGATGTAAGAGATTTCTTGAATATTGTAGGCTTCTAGCTTTGGCGGTTCACACGTCAATGGCATTTCAAAGGAAATTAATATATGTGCCTTTTCCTTTTATGGGCAAGTTGATGTCTTCCTTGTAGCCACTACTTCTACTTCTACTTCATCTTCTTCTATTTCCTGTTTTACACATTTTGCCGTTATAAATCTTTCTGGCTTTGTTTTATAAAGGGAAAGTAAAGGGTAAGCTTGTTAGCTACAAGAACTTTTGTTTATGCCTTTTCCCTTTTCTTCCTCGGGTTAAGCTTGAAAGGAATTATTTCAGATCATGTTGAGTAGACGTATAATCTGATGAGCAAGTTCTAGTGACTATCTTGACATGTGTGTGTTCAAAGAGATCTCAAATCATCAAAGAAATCATATGAAATTTTGACAGATAATATCCTAAACTAAACAATTGGAGAAAAAGGACAGCTAATAAAAAGATGTAGTAAAGATTCCTCTTTTTCACAACCAAATAAGCAGAGATCTGAGACATTAAGATGGCGTACTGCTAGAAGAATATCATTAGAAGGCAAATTCTCGAATTTATTCATGAGAAATTATTACAAAATTATCATGGTAATTATTTTTATCTTTATCTCTCATGTAAATGTATTTTTTTAAAATGTATGAATGCTAAAGAGAATGGCAGTTACTAGTCAAGCATCGTATAAAAAATTTAATACTTCCTCCAATTCTTAATATGTACAAGAACTATTTCATTTAAGGCATCATATCTAGATCATTTAGATCTGAATTTGGATGGCTCGGATATATTTTTTTAATTTCTGTTATTTGTTATTAACCAACATCATCATTTTGCTTTCTATTTTAATTTCATTTTAGACTTAGAAGACTCTAATGATTTTTTAGAATGTTTTGAGACTTGTTTTTAATAAAGTCCCATCATTAATAGGACTTAAGAAAGGCAAATTTACCTATATGCTGCAAATAGTAAAAAAAATTACCCAAATCCTATAAAATAAAAAGTATTTACTAAAATGCTACACTTGAAATCATTTATGCAAAGAACGACTTTTTTTTAGTGAATAATAAGAACGATTTTAACTTTGTCAAGAGGTCGTTTTTGGATTTTAACTCAATATTACTTTTTTTTATAAGTTGAAAAACTAAAATCGTTCACTTGGTGAATAACTTTCCCATTCCTTCCTCTTTTTTTCTTCCCCTGTCTCTTACCTTCCCCCCCCCTTCTTACTCCTATCCCACTCTCCCACATTTAGGTAGAATGAATAAATGAGGTATGAAGATAACGAGATGGGAAGATTCATAGGATTAAGGATAAAAAAAATATAAAAATGTAAAAATTGGGAAAAATTAAATATAATTAAAAGGGGATTAATATAATTTTTTTCTTTCAAGTTTATCCTTATTTTGGTTTTGATCTCTCAAATTTTAAATCACTGGTTTTGGTCCGTCAAATTTCTTTTCATTTAAAACATTAGTCCCTATAATACAATAAAAACCTTGACCATTTTGCCCCTAGAAGGACAAAAACCTATGGTTTGAAATTTAAAGGACTAAAACTAAAATGAGAACAAATTTGAGAGACTAAAGATTATATAACCCTTAAAAAAAATTACATACTTCATAATTTCAAATTTATAGCTCATCTTCTAAATTATATATATATATATTTTTTGAAAATTTGATCTATAAGATTTAGATAAAGTTCGTTACTACTTGAGAATTTTCTTTTAAAAATTATATCATTTTCTATGCAATATTTGTAAATAAAAAATCAATCTAGTATCTTCTATAATAAATCAATGCCTAACAAATTACTACCTTCGATTTTAAATATAAGAATTAGTTGAAAATTCAATTTGATCCTAAATATAAAATCTCAATTCATGCAATCTCTTTTTTTTTTTTCCAAAGTAGTCCTCATAGTGAATGCAGATGTAAAAAATGTCATTCTAACAGACATTATTAATAAGGATATTTTAGAAAAGACAACTCTTATTTATTACAAATAATTAACTTCTTTAATATTTACAAATTAGTTATCTAGCTCTTATATTAAAGATTAGAGATAATATATCTTATTGGGTTAAGTTACATCTAGTTGCTTGAATTATTTTACAATGTGGATTGAAGTTTTATATTTAGAACCAAATTGAATCTCTAACTAGTTCTTATATTTAAGAACAAAAGTAGTAATTTGTTATAGAAGATAGATTGATTTTTTGTTTACAACTATTGAATAGAAAATGAAATAATTTGTAAAAGAAAATTCTCTAGTAACAAACTTTATCTAAATATTATAGATCAAATTTTCAAAAAAAAAAATAATTTAAAAGATTAGCTATAAATTTGAAATTACAAAGTATGTAATTTTTAATTATATTTAATTTTTTCTGATTTTTTATATTTTTATTTTGTTATCCTTAATCCTATGAATCTTCATATCTTGTATCTTCACACCTCATTTTTCATTCTGTCTAAATATGCGAGAGTGAGATAGGAGTGAGAGAGGAGAAAAATAAAAAGTAGGAGAGAGAGGAGGAAAGAAGTCGGGCATGAATGGGAAAATTGTTCACCAAGACGATTTTAGCTTTTCAACTGGAACAAAATTAATGTTAAAATTGAAGATCATTTGAAGAAGAGAGAAAAGAATGATAAGGTAAAACCGCTCACATCGAAACAATTTTCTCACACATTTAAATTCGTTCTTTGCATAAACAATTTAAGTGTAGTATTTTAGTGAATAATTTTCATTTTATACCATTTAGTTTTTTTTCCCTGTTTGCAGTATATAGGTAAATTTGCCCTTAAGTAAAATTCTCCCTAATTCAACTTTCAATTGACACCTATATTGACTATTTAAAATTTCAAATGTTCAAATTGACAATGTAAATATTTTTAGTTTACATTAATCTTTCCAAAAAAATAATTTTAATGATCATCCTCGATTCCTCCCTGAACACTTTATATATACGAATTACACTTCCATATATGTATATAAAATATTTTTAATAATTTAAAAAGTTTATTTTAATAAAGAAAATACTACTATAAGTAGCACAAGGTTACTATTTGAGAGAGCGGATGTGTATGTACTTGAACATTGACATTAGCAGGGCGAGTGGGTCATAGAGCCTGCAAGGTGCCTAAACATCATTAGTCTGCTCTTATAACCATGTCAGACTCTGCCATATTCATGTTCCCTCGCACAATTTTACCCTGCCTTATGCTTTCACTCTATACATTTGCACGGAAATTTAAATTCAATTTCATATTATCCGTGTTATAGCTACAAAAATAAGAAAGTTATATTCAGTGCAAGTTAAGTTTTAGTTGGAAAAGTGCTGGTAAAAAAAAAACAAGAAGTTTTAGTTGGATAAGGAAAAGGGCAAATTCGGTAGGAAACATTTTAACTTTAATTTCTGATGATTTTTTTTATAATATTTCACAAACTATAAATACTTTTAAAATGAAATTTTTTTCATAGCAAACTAAAGTCAACAATAACGGTGATCATAATGGGAATTATTAGATCGGTTTTTGATTGCACGAATGAAGGAGGGAGAATTTTTTGTATGATGTAATATAATGATACTCTTCCGGTTCTTAGTTGATCTAATTTGATCAGATTAAGTTCTTTAGATAAATTAATTAATTATAAAAAATATAACATATTTTTCTTAAAATACCATAATCATATCGTGTTCCTTAATATCCTCCCTCCTTCTCCTACTAGATTATAGTTGAAAGAGTATTTATAGGAGTAATTTTAAAAAATTAATAAATATAAGAGATAAGTCTTATATTTAGGAATAAAATCAACTCAATAATTAAGTTTTATATTAAGGACTAGAGAAATATACAAGAAGCATGAAAAGCTCTTCTGTTTACATATGTTTTTCTTAAATGAAAACTAGGCAAACGAAAAAAGAAGGTCATCACTAACTAGAGAAGTTGGTTTTGCTTGGAAAGAAAGTTGTAATAAATGCATTTGTATTGAGTATGAGTAAGACATCAAAAGCGGAAAAAAAATAGAATAAAAGAGGTACACACAAGTGTGTGTATACATATATCTTTCTCCATCCTTACTTTTGTCTCAACTACCATCCCCCTTTTCACTCTCTTAAACTTATACTCGTGGGCCTAAACAAGACGAAAAAACCAGAGACCAAGATATTGCTAGATCTCAAGGACGTGATCAACCAACAAATTTAAATTATTTTTCATGATCAAATTTGTCTTTTGGATTTTTCTTTCCTGATTTAAAATCGCTCCCAGCCAAAAGAGGTGGGGAAGGGGGAAAAATTGCCTTGGCTCCTTCTTTATGTCTGTATTTGGGAGATGGCTTGGCCACTTCTTAAGCATAATCTCT